CATTGCAACAGTCAGCTTATGCCATCCAGTGGCTGTCCCAAGGTACGGACTCTTGCTGAAGAATTTAGAGTAACATAGTTGACGATCCGTCTGGTGTACGATATCGTCGCTGTAAGAGACCAGGGACGCGTATGGCGCTGTTGTAATTTAACATATACCGCAGACCATGTATGTCACGGAAGGATCATTCAGACGTTAAAAGAATACACGATGTACCGCGCGCCGAGTGTGGGACAGAAACTATTGTTGACGCGTACGGGAACAAAGACTAATAGCATCTCTGGTTTGTCATGGCCATCTGGATCGTTCCGTGAGATTAGGCATTGGATGCTCAGAGACAGGACTCATCTGGAGGGGGGTGGTACGAACATGCGGAAATTAAGACTTGACATATCATCCCGTCGCTGTCAAAGAGAAATGTATCCGACATGTTCTAGAAGGCTTGAAATTTCCCTAGAGCTGGGGCTCAGGTCTCGGTTTATGAAATTACTTACCTCAAAGTCAATTGATATTAAAATTCGACATAGCCAAGTGCAACTCTGATACACAAAGTGTTATCAGAAGGGTTGAGCGCACGCCCATATACCCTTTCACAGGCTGTCCCGATATTTCATCACCGCCTTTAAACGATTGCCTATGGCAGAAAAAAATTCTGCTCGGATTCTAAATCGTATATCGAGTCCATCATGATAGGCGGTGTTATTTATCCACGCCACTGTAGCCTCGTTAACCGCGTCCACTCGTATTGGAGGGTCAAATCGACGACACAACAGTGCCCAAGCCGCTGCATTGTTAGTTTCCGGACGGTAATGTCGAGAGTAGTAGCCTCCCTCGATTCGTTGCCTGAAAATCTGAAATTGTGCCCTGGTATCAGGAACTGTCACGGTCGAGTCCGAAGTGAGCATCATGGGCCGGAAGCGCTAGAAACTCTGTAATCGAAACTAGCTTTCGTGCCTTCATCTTGCCCTCATCGTCGATATCGTGGCACTGGTCTGCGGATTATTTGACGCTACCTTGCCAGTCGATCGCTTGGAGGTGAAGTATCAGCACTGTATCGACCGTGATCGATAACTTGTGTCCCACAGGACAGCGTGTTCATTAATTTCCGCGTAGAAGTCTTTCGCTCGACTGGCCTTCGTCTTCGAACGAAGGGGGGTTTCTTGCTGCGGGGAGCCCGGCCTCGCGCACTTCACTTTACGTTAACGCCCGTGCCAATCTACACACGGACGCAAACTGTCCACGAACGCCAGCTGCCACTGGTGTGTTGTCTGTACCACAGCGCCGGTACGAGTTGGATTTGATAAGCCTCATCGGAGCATGAAAGAAACTTGCGGGCGTAAACGGGAACCGCGTTAGCCTATGTCAATATTGCGATGGAGGTGGGTTTCCCGCTGACAGATCACATATGCAGCACAGGTCTATCTGCCAAGAGAATTTTATCGTTCCATTTACCTTCAACGGGCTAGTCGCGATTCATTGATGACTTACCATGTATAAACAAATCTTTGCTACTGGCCACTGGTCTCGCCAAGAACATTGGTTGCAAATCGTTGAACGTTCGACGCTGTTCCGAGTCGTCATCGGCCTCATGGGTATTGCCGGTTCGGGTGTCAGAACGTTGACCGAATTGCTCCAATTCAACCACCGAAAGATTTGATTTTGATATGAGCGTCGACGAGTGCGCAGACCTAAGACACTGAAGTCTGACTCTGGCGCTAATGCGCCCCATCACGATACGCGTGCAGGTCCGACGGAAATTCACGCCAGGCATCAAAATTCCGTAATTGTAAAAGATCCGCGGCACCTACTACATAATTCAACCGTACGGTCATAACGTGCCGCTCATCGCAGTCGAGGCGTTCTCCGAGGTCCTGCCCCACATACTTCTCAGGTCCAACAGATATCAATAGTAAGTAGCCGATTTTGCTCCGCTTTTTCAACCTTACCCACGAATCACGGCCAGTTTTGAATTTGCAAGTCTTTTCGGTTCAGGTGTCGTTAATACCCGGCCCTGTCCGAGGAATCATGATCTTCTGGTCGTACTTACTCAATATTGCAGCACGTACGACATCAGTCTGGGTCGTGCATTAACACCATTAATGGGACACCACATGGTATTATCTCAACAAGTATGTCGTTGATGTAATACGCCTCACTTGGCGGCAGTATCCTGACAGGCCGAAACCATCATTGGTTCTCATCGGTACCATAATATGATCCTTCTTGTGCGCATCAATGAAATCAGTCTGGACGAACCTCTTTTGTGCGCAAAAGACAACTAAGACAACCTGTCCGACGTTTAATTAACGGTATGCAGACAACGCTAGCTATATAGTAAGAGGCTGTAGCGCCATCTCAGCTGTACATTTGCGAGCTCTTTCGTCGAACTGCTATAAAGTTACGTTATGCGCGGACGGCGTTTAGCCAGGGCTGTGCATGTCCAGCAACGCGGCGGCGACACACTCGGATGCAAGCAACTTGAACTCGTACTAGAAGTTATCATTAGTTATCGACAGAGATATCGCTGAATAAAAGACTCTACGAGTTATCTATCCCCTTCATGCTCATCTTCGCAATCAATGCCAGCGATGCATGTGGTGAAGGGTAGGTGGCGTCAGGTGGCGCCTTACCCGTGTGCTTTGATGCGAGTCCCAAACATGTCACAAGATGTCATGCGGCAATGAAGCTGGTTGGCCTAGACACCCAGGAAATGGCCGTGATGGGAAACACCACCTAAATCGTACCTTTCGATGGGTGACTAAAGAAGATCACTTGATATCGCAACATTCTGTTCATCCGATATGATTCCACTGCTGTAACTTCTCCGTCCTTATTACTTTCTCGTTTGTTCTTCTTCTTGGGGTAAGAGTGAGAATATTTGAACCGGAGCTAAGGTCTCGTCCAAATATAGCAGGGATCTTTTTGCTGCAACGTTCCTTAGCTTATAAACAACCAGCATCTAGCGATATGAGCGTTAAGGCGGCACAATCCGAGAGTCTCTGGACGGAAACACCCCTGGTTTATTCCAGCCATATTTCTGACATCATCGGATGTTCAGTCTACCTAAAGCTGGAGGTACGATACAGATCAGGATCATGTGGGACTGATCGAACAGGCGTACCTTCAGAATCTGCAACCTTCTCAATCATTCAAATACAGAGGGATCTCTAAATTCGTACAACAATGCAAGAATAAGCATGGCCCTTTGGTGCACTTGATGATCGCTTCGGGCGGAAATGCAGGTCTAGCTGCAGCAGTTGTGGCACGTGTTTTGGGAGTGAGATGCACAGTATTCCTTCCCACCAATGTAAGTATCGATACGCAGCAGGCTCTCCAAAAGCAAGGCGCAGAGATCGTAACAATCGGTGAATACTACGCCCAAACACTCGCCGCTCTCCAAGATGCCGTCAGGAAAGACACAAATGCGTGAGTACAGGCTTACCCGTCGCTTGCGGCAAGCCAACCGCATTTTAGTGTCCTAGTGCCATCATATGATTCGCCTATCCTCTGGGATGGTCATTCATCCATGGTAACAGAGATGCAGAGACAACTTCCCAGGCAGCCGGACGCCATATTTTGCAGTGTTGGTGGAGGAGGCCTTATCGGAGGCATCATGCAAGGCTGTAAGAACGTTGGGTGGGATGAAGGTAACTAAAATCATGAATTGTTGCACTCATACCTCTAATTCGCGCCTAATAAAAGTGCCAGTCGTAGCGCTGGAAACAACCGGCTCGAACTGCTTCTACAATGCCATCGCCATCAATACCCGGAACTTTACTTCTAAAGTCCCCATTGTGCCTTCCACTGAAGTGGAGGACAGTTCTCCCTATACCGTTGAAATTGTTGAGGAATATAACATCGCAATCCCGCACATGAAAGTCCTGAAATCGCGAGCAACCTCACTAGGCGCATCCTCGCCAGCTCCTGGGGTAGTTAGAATGGCGGTCGACCGTGCTGGGGGAATAAAATGCGCATGCATCCCAGACGAGATGGCTATGCACACTGCAAGATTATTTGGAGGTGAGTCCCCGTCGATGCAAAATGCTAATTGGCTGGCGCAATAACCACACTGCCAGACGATCATAAAATACTGACGGAACTCGCTTGTTCAACAACTCTGAGCCCCGGATACAATCGTGAGTTTCTCTTGCGTATCCTCGGGCCAACGTTCTCGGCACTTTCTCCTGAAGAGAGAAAAGAAAAGTGCCTAGTTTTTGTGGTGTGCGGTGGAGTCAAAATCTCTTTTGAGGAGATGAGGGACTTTGAAGAGATTGTCGCTGCAGCGCAGGTGCAGAGCTACTGGAGTGTGCAAATCGGCGGCGAAGAAATTCAGCTGCCTAAGCAATGCGACTGAAATATAGAGATACACTGAGCCTAGAAGAAATAAATGGATTTAGAAGTAAAGGAGACCTAACAACTACGATGACTTGTAAATGCTACTTCGGATGAAGACTATAGGCGACATACCGTTCCTATGAACTACCACCATTTGAACCACCCTTTTGAGCTTTGTGCAGTTGCCTCCGATTGCGTTTGAAGCTCTTTATCCCGCTCAATTCGTCGTGCAAGTTTGTCCGCCTTTATCCTTGCTAGCTCTTCTCGGATGGCGGTTTGATCCGTTGGTATTTTCTACGTGCATTTTGAGCACACGGATGAGCAGCACATTAATATTAAAAACTAACGCTGTACGTCCTATCCGGAGGCGGGAATAGATGTTCCCTATACTGGTCGCAATAGTCAATGACGAAGTCATCATAAACAAGACGACAACCTACAGGAAGGACGTGGTTATGGTACCAAGCAGGATCACCAAAATGCAACAAGGCCATAACGGGTACAAACAAGTACAGACTGAATTTGAAGACCTCAAGATTTGGACCACCCATGATAGACGCACAAAGGTACAAAGGGTTCTTTGCTCAGTGAATAGCAAGTCAGGAACGATCACGTGATTTTAATTTGGTCATTCAGTTATTATTTCGGACGCGTTGCCGCTCATGCTCATGTTCACGTCTCCCATATAGTCAGACATTGAAGAACTGAGACAGCCACTCCTTTTTTTTAAGCTGGTAAGTGAAAGCTACTAATTCAAGGGCATATTGGTTTAATCACTGAATAGATTCTAATGATCGGTAGGGCGACTTGGCCACAGATTAACACTGGCATGGTGCAACTAGACGATGAAGATGTGGTGTGTAAGCGAGAAGTTAAGGAGACCGCTTCAATTCGGCCTCGACGTCGACGTCTGAGTAGTTGTGACTCGGATAGCTCCAGCATGGGTAAGATCTGAATCATAATGCAAACCAGAATGCCAAGTCATGTACTCCGCTCACGCAACTTCCAGCCTCCTGTGTCACTGCTGTGATATGTGACCTAACAAATACCACAAGGTATAAACGCCAGCTTGCCACGGATTTCGAACCCAGAGACAAACAGGCTAAACGCCCACGAGCCAATAAGGCTGCTCTTCGCAAGCATGAGCGGTTTTGGCTTGCAGACGGAAATGCTATCATTGAACTTGACGATATATGCTTCAGGGTGCATCAATCATGGATAATGAAACATTCAAAACGGGTTGCAGCCATACTTCCCGACAGAACACAAGGCGACAGACTCGAAGAGATTACACTCGATTTTTGTGGCGTGCTCAAAGCAATAGATTTGGAGGCACTGCTTTCGTTCTATGAAAACCCTGGGTAAGTATATGCTGAACTTTGATTATCTTGTTGTGCTGGCTAACGTGTGGGTTAGGGACTACCGCGATTACATCGAGACTCCCACACTGATATCTCTCATCCGCGCAGCGACAATACTTGGTTTTGACAGTGATCGTGCATGGCTCGTGAGGGAGTTGGAAGCGCTTTGGCCGTCTAACCTTGGAGAGCTATTTGTCAACCCAGAACCGCGCCTTGATGCTCCAGAGGTGGCTTGCCTTGCACGGACGTGTAATATTGATTCGCTGTTAAAACCTGCGTTCTACGATATGGCAAGAGCACCCGGATTCGGTCTGGACAGACTGGACGAGTCAGAGCAGATTAGTCGTTCGGATCTACTACGCCTTGTTCGGATGAGAGAGTATCTGAGTGGAATGTGGGCTCAGGTAGCTGCGCACGAGGATCCTACCTTTGTTTGCCAAAATCTCCGGCCTGGGGCTGCAGCATCAATCAATGACGAAGGACCCTCAAGTCTATCTAGAAATACTACCGGAAAAACTACACTTTGCCCTGCCTCCTCTGCGATGTATAGCCACTGCCTCTCGGCGACGATACGACGCAAGGCGTGGGTTCGGCTTGTCCACTACTCAGACGTTTTCGCCCAGTATCGGTACGACCCACTGCGCGGACTAGCGGCGTTGACGAACATCGCGTGGACGGATGAATGGTGCAAGGATTGCGTAAAGAAAAGGAAATCTGATTGGTATAAAATGCAGAGGAAAATCTGGGAGGTTGTTGGTGAATACTTGAAGGAAGAATGACGAGTGGGTGCTGCAGCAAGTGACCTTACTTGCTAAGTGTCTTGCACCTCCCATGGTTTAAAATTTTGCACACATAATGTACATTTCTTGCTAATTGTCTTGCTAGAGTTGCGCTGGAGTTCACCCGCTTTGTGCTGGAATGCACAGTGTTCAATTATGTCAGGCCAGGTCCATTTATTAAACAGGTCCGAAGTTAGTATACAGTTTTATCAATCTCCATTATCACTTCGTGAGGCTCTCCTCTGTTGTTCATATGGCTTTTCGTTCCCCATCATGATCTCAAACTGCTTGATTCAATGCTCTTTCAGCATCTGGCCGTCTGCTCCTTGATTACTCAATATTCCATTCAATATTCGAATAACCCATGTCCATGGCCATAATTGTATCTGCAATAATTTTCGCAATGAGCTTCTCGTCCGTCATTCCACCTGCATCAACTTCAGTCCCGTGGGCAGAATTTCGCCCTGATGTCATCGACACATCAATATGATCACGTGACCTATTGTGGATCGTTCCATTTCGATTTTGCTGCTCATTCTTACCTTCTCCCGAACTGCGGGACAACAGATCGTGGAATAACATGGTACGACAAGAGGATGAAAATGTGGTTGATAACAAAAAAGACAATCAGATTCAGAAGCCTCAAAGGACGCGCCGCTATGACTTTAGCAGCATCTATCGATATCCCCGTTCGAGTAGTCCTTCGACTGCTGAAACCTCCGATGCCGGTAAGACTTGAACCAGCGAACAATTTCCCTGTATCATGTACTTCACTCACACGAATTCCAGCCTCTGAAGTACCCGCTACTCTAAATGACCCAGTAAAGAGTGCACGGCGCAAACGCCAAGTTCAATCGCCCTCGGAGGCCAAGCCAGCAAAGAAACGGGCTAAACGCGCACGAGACGAGAACGAAATTAGCAAGCATGAGCGTTTTTGGCTAGCAGACGGAAATGTTGTCCTTGAACTTGATGGCATATACTTCAGGGTGCATCAATCATGGCTCACACATCATTCGAAACGCATCGCAACCTCACTCCTAGACAAGGGCATAAGTGGTGACAAAATTGAACAAATAAAAATCGCTCTTCATGGAAAACTCAAAGCAAAAGATTTCGAGACACTGCTGTTGCTTTATGACAACCCAGGGTAAATGTCTACTGAAATTAGAATATCATATTTGGCCCGGCTAACAAACGATTCAGAAATTTCCGCAATGCCATTGAGCCTCGCACCCTAATGTCCCTCATTCGTGCAGCGACAGGCCTTGGTTTTGATTCCGACCGTGTATGGCTCGTGAGGGAGTTGGAAGCGCATTGGCCATCTAACCTGGAAGAGCTGACTGCTAACCCAGAGCCCCACCTCGATGCTCCGGAGGTAGCTGTCCTCGCACGGATGTGCAACATCGATGGGTTGTTGAGGCCTGCATTCTATGATATGGCAAGGGTGCCTGGGTTCGGTCTGGACAAGTTCGAGGAATCAGAGCAAATTGGCCGTGCGGATATGTTGCGCCTTATACGGATAAGGGAGTATCTGAGTGAGATGTGGGTACAGGCTGCTGCGCGTGAGGATCCTGCCCTCGTTTGCCAGAACCTTCGGGGTGCTCCATCAAGTGATAGTGAAGAAACCTCAACTTCTTCTAAAAACGCTGACGAGAAGCCGGCACTCATTTCTATCACCTCTGACAGTGTGTCTAGCACATGTCTCCCGCTCGCCGCAAGACGCGAAGCGTGGGCTCGGCTGGTATATGACTCTGGCATTTTCACTCAGTATCGGTATGACCCACTGCGCGGACTAGCAGCGTTGATGAACATTGAGTGGACGAATGATTGGTGTAAAGATTGTAAGGAGAAGAGGAAGAAGGATTGGCATATAATGCAGAGAAGCATTTGGGAGAAGGTTGGCGAGTATTTGAGAGAAGATTGATAGATGGATGTTGCAGTGAGTCACCTTGTTCCCCGAGTTTCTTGCTCTCCTATGATTCAAATTTTTGCTCGTATATGAAGCATTCCCTGTATCGCTAGAGTTGCGCTGGAATTCACTGCACTGAAATTATTAGAATAGAAAGGGGCTTTAGACAAAAAGGGAGCTGAGTTTCATAAATTTCCTATTCTAGTTTGTTAGGCGCTTCCTAATGAGTACTTCTATTCGGGATATTCCGATTTCCCCTATTTAATGTTGTCATGTCTCATCTTACATGAAGGTACACATTTACCCTGACGACAATATGCTCGCGGCTCAAGACGTTGTACATGTACATCTCACTCATCCAGACCGTGACAATCTTTTTCGCATCGCAGCAACTCCTAGTGATTTGATCAAACAGAATTTGAAGACTTTCGGTGTACAATGTACGCAGTGTCAAAAAACGTTGGATAAACTTTTGAAATGTTCAAAGGTACTGTTGGCTGATATATTTCTGTCATAAGCGCTCATCACATCATAGTGCAAGGGTGTTTGGTATTGCTCAAAAGAGGTAAGATCTGTGACTTTGACAAAACAGAGGGGCTGACGTTACCGACGTATCTTCTTGTAATAGTGCCAAAAGAAACATTGGTGAGCGTTTTTCTGTTAATCAATACGCAGAGATCTCACTTCCAGACCCGGACTCGCACTCCATGATAGGCCCGCTCACAAACCAGCATGTCACGACGTTGAACGCTCCTCAGGGGCCCTCAAATTCGTACGAACGTTCTGCGCAAACATCACGCTCATGATGTTCCTCAAAGTCGCCATTATTTACGACTGTGGTTTGCTCGACAATCCTCGGCTCGGGTTCGACGTGCCTTTCATGGCCCGTGTTGATATTGCAATCGAGCCAACTGACATTCTCGACTTTGCGGGACTATATCTCAATAAAAGGCCCATTGCGGAGAAACTTGAAGGAATGGTACAAGTCAATACCGTCTCTGCGTGGGATCCTAAGACGCATCCTCCCCTCACGCCGACGCGGCTTCGCTTATGGCAGCAGGCTCGAGCACAGTCCACCGCAGCAGGCTATGGCAAAGATCCTGTTGGACTCATCGAGTTCCTCAATTATACAGAGAATTCTACTACCGCTGCGTTTCATATTGCCAGCTCTGTCCTTGCCGCCGCGAGGAAACGCGAACCCTTCTTATGTTCCTCTGCTGTCACGGGCAATAGATTCGAGAAGCCCATGGACTCTGCGACATGTATAGAGTGCGTTCTTCGACCCTATTTCAACGAGCGCGGCCCCTCACAATCGCCTGGCACAGATATATCAATTTGCATATTCGGGCCGATGAGCAGAACCAGTTGCTTCTACGAACTGTGATGACAGAACAAGACAAGGAAGTGATTCGTGCGGCAGGTCGCAATGAGAACTCGCTTTCCGTTTCCCTTCTCAACTACAAGATGCAAAGAGAACCCCTGTATGCTAACATAATAAATGTGACGCCAATTCCATCCTCAGGTGTGCGTTTTCATTTTTGTCGGAGTGCTGAACTCTTTCTGAATGTTGCATGTAGACAGCAGACGAGTGAATATGAAAGTTTGATTGACTAGGAATGTTTGTGAATTAGGTGTGCTTGTAAATTTGACTACTATATTATCAATTGATTCAAGACACCATACGTCACTTCTAGTGTTACGTTTAGCGTATCATCGAATGAAGTATCCTGAAGTACTTCTCTTCGCGAAGGCTGAACTGTCCAATATTCGTGCAGTGTGACCAAATTATTCTCTCGCACGGATACACTCGAAAGACTTGATCAGTAAACACGCTCTGGCTTCCGCAAAAAATCCACCCTTCGAATGACTTTTTTTTTTTTTTTGAATCAAATTTTTGTCCGGTTGGGGTAGAGTACCCTATTTAGGACATTTCTAACTAGGAAAGGGGGACACCTGTGTCCCCCACCGTGTCTCCTACTCTGCAAATGCCCTGGCGAAGGGTTGACCTCCGCCAGTCCGCCGTTCCCGCCGGCCGTTTTAGATGCACGAGTCTGCTACTCCACGGAGCCGTATTGATACAGTTTGTGTTTGTGAGGGGCCTGTCGTGTGTTGGGGATATACAAGTACTCGGACCGCCGAAGCAATCTTTGTACGAAGGGAGTAAATGGAGTGCGGAAAGAAAGTAAGAGGTAAGATGGATTCAGCGCGGCGTGCTGCTGATAGAACCTTCTGTACCGTGTATCTCTACAACGAAAGTTCTGTCCCTGTCCGTCCTTCTCCTGAGTCTCTTTGCGTCTGAATCTCCAGATGGGTCGTCGAATGACACCTGTTGCCCTGCGTTTGACGAGTGAAGATGGTGATGGGGTAATCTTGAAAGGAGTGCGCGTGTTAAAGATCTGAATTTGGGTACGAATTGTTATCTGAATTTCCTTCGAATGACTTGTTGTTAATGTATTGGACTCAGTTGCATGACGCTGACTGTCACATGTCAAGAACAATCAAACAATTTCTTTATTAGCATACAGGTCTGATAACCTTCATCCACCTCGTGAACTGCAGCTCCATATTCTACTTACTACATTTCTTGGTATAGGAACTCTACGCAAACAAGGGCGCCCAAACAGCAGGGCAAGTAAGTACTAATGTTCATCGCGTCGCGGTCTATGGGTACAAAGAAGACTGTGAGATAGCAACACAGTATGATGGTAAGAGATGAGGAAAACAAAAGTGCTACGGTATAATAGTGCACACGTCTATGTGCAAAACAAAACAGGAAATGGTTACCGGATATGCGATGACTTCGACGAAGGGGCATTCGCATTCTCCTTGGCAGTGGAGGATGACGGGATAGGAGGTGCGGATAGTATGGGCGCTTGATGCGGCTGTGGCAATTCCTGCTGCGGTGTGCCATCGTCGCTCCCGTTACCCGCATCCCCGACCGGCTTCATTGCATCTACCTCATCAGCATCAAGTGCAGTTTGCTGTAAAGACTTGCGCCTGGCAGCTTCTTCTTCTTCGGCCCGCCGGATGACATCGATCTCGCCCTGCACCGTTATACCGTCCAGCCATGTGTGATGCACAAGCTCAAACGCTTTTGCACGACGCTCGGGATGCAATTGGAGCATCGGAGTGAGGAAGGCAGAAATAGCATCAGCTTCGTCCTTCGGGAAGAGGTATTTGTCGTGCAATACCGCTTCAAGAGGCCAAAACCGGAGCTTATTGATATGCCGGAGTTCACCTAGAAGTATGATATGGTGAGAGCATATTGGAGGATATTTTGAGGAAACTTACCTTTCCGGTTGAAGAATTCCGAACTATACTTTCCTGAAAACGCGACTGACCTCGGGATTTCTCTCAGCAGCTCTATGATCTGGGCGATGTGGTCATCATCTTTGCTATACCGTGGGCCTGGCGCGGGATCGAAGAGATAGTCTCCTCCGGTAATGAGTTCAAATACCTAAAATGTATATAGGCAGCATGCTCCGAGCGATGATTATTGTACATACCAAACAGGCAACACTCCACACATCTGCACTAGTCCCCCACTTGGCGCCAAGAATGACCTCCGGACAACGGTATTGCCGCGTCTGAATATCATCTGTAAAGTGGTGCTCGACCCAGGTAGCTACGGAAATAGAGAGCACCGCCGAAGCGAATGTCAATGAGCAGCCATGAAAACGCAATGAAAAACGCATTGACAATAATATAAAAGGAAATGTACCAACCGTTCCCAAGATCCGCAATTTTGACTGTGATCTTCGCAGTACTCTCGAGCAGGCTAGACGTTGTAGAAGTCTCTGCAAGTACGGAATCCATAGACATGACAGAGCTAGAAAGCTTTGGATCGACAGCATTAGGTTCCACAGATGCTTTGGAACTCGAAACAGCGTGTGGCTGAGAGGATGTTGTAACTGGGGGCTGGGAGGGGGCCATTTGTGTCAGTAGCGAAGGCCCTGGAGGATGGGCAGGGTGAGGTGTTGTCGTCTTATTGAATCCGGATGAATGGAGAGTGACATTTGAAATGCGTTCTGCAGCCACCTCTGTCGAGTCTGCGCGCTTGGAGGACGCGTCCATGAGACTCATTCCTGATGTTGCAGCTGATCCAGCTAATCCATCCTTTGCCACTGAACTAGATCCGTAAGATCCGGGCTTGGAGGTGGCCTCGCCGTCGATCTTGCTCATGCCGAACGCAAGCTTGTCGAACATAGGGCTGTTGCCAAACGACGAGGACGGTGACGGTAAAGGCTGAGATTCTGTGATGAAAACAGATTCAGGAGCGAGGTGTCTGGTTGCCTCCACGACCTTTGGAAGGCGGCACGCCGACGAGTCGTGTGGGTGGTGATGTGGCATTGGCTGATGCGGCAACCTCGGTTTGGATGATAGATTCTACGTCATCGATACTTATAAGAACGTTTTCGGGCTTCAAGTCTATCGGAACATGTTCATGAGACCCAAAGGAGACGAAAAAACAACGAACCTGTGTGAATTATGCCACAACAACGGTGCATGTAATCTAAACCTAGGAGGATTTGTTTGGCGATCTGTTTGACGAGGTGCATGGGTACGCCCTTGTTTTGATGTCGTTTGATGAGGCCAAGGAGATTTTCACCTAAGACTTCAGAAACCATGCAGACGTGAGTGCCATTAGGACCTTTATGTCGGAAGTGATCCAAAAATGACATGACATGAGATCGACCGGGATGTGTGTGTGCATGGGATGGGGGAGGATTGGGATTATCAGGGGTTGGGACAACGGGAAGAGTGTTAGATGTGATCAAACGTTGGAGTAGTTTGATCTCATCGAGAGCGGTCTCTGTGTACCTAGGCGCGGACTTTACGATTTTGAGTGCGACATGACGATTCATTCTGATCGGTTGAAAGAAACGGAAGGAAAGGTAAATGGACTACGCGTGGGGATGAAATTTGTGCCTGCCTACTTTGTGTCTTTGGCGAGCCATACTGTGGAGAAATGACCCCAACCGAGTTTCCTGACGACGATATATCTGCCATCCTGAAAAAGAAGTCAGCCGATGTGAACAGGGTGGTAGCCTCCCTTGATGTAGTCCTCCCAGTCTTCTTCGTCTTCGGTCATGATGGATTGGGAGTGAGAAGAATGAGACGCGTGAGACATGGTGAAATTCGGGTATGCTGTAAAGGAAAACGATAAGTCTGAGGAAGAGATAAGGGGAGATAAGCATACCTGAAGCGTTAAACTGATCTATTCGGGTATACTTTTCGCTATAACACTTGGAAAAGATCAGCAACAATAAGAAAAGTTGAAAGACGACTACGATGACGACGATGAATGAGCAGGAATTCAGATTCTAATCACTTTTCATACTAATATCAAGTTCGCATGTGATTGGCTGACTAATAAATAACATATCATCATGTTTATTCCAGACGTTCTTGCCAAACAACCGCACGACGACCACGCCCGGACGACATGTCCGCCCTACATCCCTTGGGAGTAAACGCATCAACGGGTTACACGTCATAATTACTGCAGGCCTCGTGTAATCACAATGGTCACCAACGTTGCATCAGTGAACTCTGCCGTCAGAACAGGCCACGAGATCATATTCTCGAAACTAGATTAACCATCTTGGTATGTCTCTGGTTTCTCTTTACCTCTTCAGGACTTCCACGAATAGAATGCATGCCTTAAACACGTGTACAAGTCCTGTCGGTTCCTGCCCCTTCTAGTCACATACCCCAGCTTTCATAATCCTCATCCATTAATTGATATTTACGCCCTCCTTCATCCGGTTCGGATTACACGAGGCAGCGCCTTCCAACCTGTGCTATTTATCCCTTAACTTTGCTGATCATACGTTTTTGCTCCACAGCTTATCAGCATCCTTTCAGGTGCTCGATCATCATCATATTCCATGGGTCCTTTTGACGACCTTGACGATGCACAAAGGTATGTTGCAACCAGATGTCATAATCTCCATCTCATTCTCTATAGGATCAGCATCGCTAACGAACACCCCAACGATCTCGAGTCTGGGCCATCCTCTCCATCCTCGCCACCAAGCTACCTTCGCCCTCGTCGTCCGAGCAAACCAAATTCCCGTCATCGGTCACAACATACCACCACAGACGGTGGCTCAAGCAGCCACCTCCTCGCCCGTCTCATCGCTCGCGACGATGAAGTCCGTGAAATCAATGCACTCCTTGTCGTCACTTCCGAGCGTCTCGAGTCCGAGTCTAACCGGGCTAACAGCTCAGAGCGCCGTGCGCTCGAATACTTCAACCGATTGCGTCAGGCAACCGAGAATCGTGAGCGCGCTGAACAAGAATCAACTCGTCTTCGTGAGGAGTTGAAGCTGTACAAGCTCCAGCTTGAAAATGCGCAAAAGGAGATCTTTCGCGCACAGGATATCATTAATCAGGTTTCTGCTCAGAAATGTGAAGCCGAGGCAGATGCTGCGAGAGCCAGAACAAAAGCAAGGAAGTTGCAGGAAGAGAAGATGATGATGATTGCCCACGAGGACGGCAGGCGGCGTGGTTACAAAGAGGGCCTAACAATCGGACGTCGGCTCGGCTTTGACGAAGGAAGCACGATAAGATATGATGATGAACCGGCCCGACGAGTACATCGGCCTGCCGTTCAACCAGATGGAGGAGACGAAGAAGAGGAAGAAGAGTCAGTGCACTCTGAACGTAATAATGATGTACGCTCACAGCCGCGGGCGCACCCACGGTCTTCAAGAGAGTATGTAACAGTATATCCTTTGTGTAATTGTACTCATTTTTTATGGACAGTGTGCGCCCGGAGTCTGCTCCGCCTGTTGGGCAGTATGGCACTGCGCCACATGAACTTGCTGTCATACCAGTTCCCCCACCACAAGTAACCCCAGTCCCGTCCCATTACCCTCCAGAAAGAATCACGACGCCCTCACCATCAACGAGTCCCCCAGCGGAGACCGTTTACCCCGCGCAAATACGTACGGTCTCTAGCCACTCGGCCGATATTCCTCGGGACAGTTGGATACCTCGAGCGGACCCACAGACATCTTACATCCCAATCCCACCGCCACATGGATTTTCTCAGCCCGTGGCCCGGAGCTCCAGCACACAGTCGCACGACTTAGACAACCACTCTCGCCACAATCCTCCGTATGATGCTGGGGACTCAAACTATGCTCTTGTGAGAACTCGTGATTTCGCGTATGCGCAACCTGCCCCAATCCCGGTCCCAAGTCTACATACTCCATCTCTCATGTCGCGATCGACATCGACGCATATGTCTCAATACGAGCTTGTAAGCGCCCCCACCGAACGACACGGCATTTCACTTCGTCACGAAGCATCTTCCTCACACACCAGGAGTGAAAGTCGGACTGAACGACGTACATCATCACGTGGCGGATATCTTCCTGAGAAAAGTCGAAAGGAGGATTTCGTAGAACAATGGCGTGTAGACCCAGAAGTTGTCGCTACAGCAACTCCTGGGACGGCCGTAAGAGATTTTGTGCGATATCTCAACTAGTATTCAATGTCAGGGCACTAATTTTATCATCGTTTAGCAACCTGTACCACCTCCTGGACATCATCGTCCCAGGGAGTCAAACATGCCCGTCCCACATACTGATTCACGTCCTTCAAGCCGAGTAGAGTCCCAAGCATCGCAAGGTCCTTCCCAGAAACGGAGTCCACCACGATCAAGAAATCCCCTCGACTACTTCAACATCAGGCAACGTTTCCATCAGCGAACACAATCAGCTGCCAGTGTCCCAAATATAACTGTTGAACCCCCGGTATGTGGTCCGATATGAAACGCATCTTCTGTTTACATGTTTCATAGTCCGATGAAGCTTCGACTCCATCTGAGCACACTCATCGATCACGCCTTGAGCTTCTAAGTCCAGACTCCGCAAATCGGCCCCTTCCTCCGTCTCATGAAGAACGTTCCCGGACATCCGAAAGACATTCACAAGACTCACACGGCGCCTACCGTTCGACCACGCCTACGCAGCCTCCATGGCCAGCAGGGTTCGTGCCCGTCACAGGGGCAGCACTACCCGAACCGGTCTCCCAATATCCTCGTTCAAGAAGTCGAGGACCTGATGAACATTACCAAATGGCGCCTATTCCTGAGGGTGTCACATACCCTGAACCGCCTATGCGTGTTTCGTCGTCTCATGAACATCGTCGCCCGCAAGAGTCTGAACGATCGAGTTCGCCGGCACCTCTGCAGAGACCGATATCATTATTCTCTGACCAGGATGGGTGAACCATGGGATAATTCTGTTATTTGTTTTGTATTTGTAGAGTTTTGATTTTGACACATTCGCGCACTGTCCTTACGACTGCCACGTTATGAAACTTGTCTTTCCTTGACTTTTAGATGCGTTTGTTCCTTGCGTACAGCTTTGGTCATCTGGTAACTACGTACACCAAAGGATGATGGGGGTGCTGGCTGATGACTCACCGGCAACTTGATCACACATCAAGGCCCTTTGACGTCAAGCAGATCATCTCGTGGCTGATCGATGAAATATGATGACGAGATAGAGAGTGCTTCAAGGGCTGTGCTCGGGCACGCCTTGTCCTATTAGTAAGCCATCCCACTCGTCGCGTCTTCATTTCAAACACCAAATACATGAAGACCCTTACGATGCTGTACCCACCCTAATTTATCACTCTTCTGTCCGATCCATGAATGTTTGATGCGAGTCAATCATCCAGACAAACATAGTAACAGTGACAAGCACGCATCCCTCCGAGTCAGTTCTGAAGACGACATTCGCGAAAATCCCTCATTCAGACTCGAGTCAAACTCACTCGAATTCGCACTAGAACTTGTGCCTGAAGATAACGATATCTTGCGAGATACAGACTCTGCCGCGGGCGGACTTCTTGACATATAGGGCTCACAGTAGCAGTTGGGCGCTGCGGACATGGACCCTGTCCATCCGAGAAGCAAGGAATCTTTTTTTTTCCCTTTCAAGTTGTCTTTTTTGATACTGATGGTGGTTTGCGCACGCTCTGCATTGCTTACTGAATGATTCTCGCGGTGGCCGCTCAGGCCATTTTTAATGACACTACTGAAATTGCGGAGTGCTCGTTGCAGATAGCGCTGAGGAGCTGTAGAGCCATTGCAGGAACCCCCTATCCCAGAAGCCATTGCAATGCGTCATCATGCTGGAATGAAGCTCTGGATAATCTCTGGATTTTCGCAGGACATGTAGCTGTGGATGGATCGAGATTGATGAGTGTTTTCTTCTTCTTTCGTTTCGCGTTTCGCGTCTCCCGGATCATGGTTCAGCTGCAGCCTCCTAAAGCAGGATATGGAAGTCATGATTCCATCCGCTGACACTCCTGAAGGCATTGGCAATTGCTGCGGGTCTCACGTCGATACTGGGCTCCATCTGCCTCGGAAACAGTGGAGTGCGGCTTTATCTTTGGCGCTGAAGATTCCTGTGAGGTTCGTTCGCCCTCGGAATCTTGTTGTAGCAAGTTCGTTCACGAACAGAATGCTGCAAAGCCTACGTGATCCCCAACCCGCAACTTCGGGAAGCATCCTAAATACAATTCTTCCTACTCGGCATCTGACGTGTGCCGAACAGTGATGAGGCGTCCGTGCAAGAGTTCAGCGCTGCATTGGTAAGGCGTTCGCGACTCGGTAGTGTGCACTGCATTGGTCTCCGTAACAGATTGTAGACGAATGAAAATATCATTTCTCCGAACTATGAGTGTGCATGTTCATTTATTGTTTTTGACGCGTCTAACTAGCTACCATTACAAGAAATATCATCTTCAACAGCCTCGACGCCTTGACTGGTGCCTGAATCGAGAGTCCGTTGTCAGTCCATCGATCTATGCTTGGACCTCTAGTAGCTGGCGTAGACCTCTTCGGCTATTGTTGAGAAGATTCGGAGAATCAAAGGCAGTGAGCAAAGCAAGCACTCAGCATCTGTCCTAAAGCTCCTCTCCATGGCTGGTGAGGCTTTGACGTGATGACGTTGGCAACTATGCGCTTATATTGCTTTCAGCGATTTTTCAGCGAACGTTGTGTTGTAAGTACTCTACACTCAGCGAAAAAAATATCATTGTACAGTGATGAACAATAGCCACGTTCCAAGTGCCATGGACCTGAAGACCTGTGGGTCTGTGGACACGATTGGTTATATATAAAGGGTCGTCCAAATGATCGGGGGCTATCAACAACTTTTAATCATGCATCACGCTCTGAAAGTCGACGATATCGTCTACGAGATCCTGCAATATGTCAAGCTCTCCAAGTCGGACTTGCATAGTATGGCAATGACCTGCTCCACGTTCTCATCACCTGCTCTCGACATGCTGTGGTGTCAACAGGACAGTTTGATACCCCTCGTGAAGTGTCTCCCGCAAGACACTTGGAATGTCCGTTATGATGGCACTATTGTGAGCGATGTCTTCCATTTGAGCCTTGACAGGACGATGCTAACCGCACTCCATTTTTTTTTAGATTTTTTCACGCGAACCGCTACTCCCGGAATGGGAGCGTGTCAGAATCTATGCGGCAAGGATACGCAAGCTTACGGTCACGCAGTACGATCGTTCCCCGAAACTAAGTGGCCCTGTCCTACGGCAACTTTTCGCGCTGTTCCCGCCCGCGATGCTCTTTCCTAGATTGCGCACATTGGATTCCAAGGCGGTGTATCTGGATTGGGTAGACTTTGATCCAGCCTTCTTCTTATCTCTGCTTCGCCAGTTCTTCTTGCTTGAACTGGAAAACCTCAAATTTGAGATACCGGACGGCGCCACAGCATACGAGGTACAGCAACTTTTTGGTGATCTTTCTACAAACGCGTCTTGCTTGCGACAATGGGCGATTCATTACCCCCACCAGCTCCTTCCGTTTGTAGTCCCTAAGCTGCCGAAGTTAAATGGATTGACTATTGGCCGAATCTCCACGAATTTAATGAGGCAAAATATTGCCAATATCCAGCATTCGCGTTGTCTCCAAACCCTGACTTTAACAGTTGATGGGTCAAACAAAATGGAAATCCAACCGCCAGGCGATATGCCACTTGAATTCGGTGCCCTCGAAAATCTCAAACTCTCTGGCGTCCGCTTGGCACATTGCAAATCCTTCCTTGATCAAGTTGCCATGCCACAATTGGCAGTCCTCGAAATTCACTATTTTGGAGCTGCTAAACCAGCCGAAATCACCGGGCTCATCAAATCCTTATCTACGGCTTGCAACACAATTGCATTCCTGAAAGAGATCACTGTGGTCGCCCATTCGCATCACAACTGGAACCATCTTGAGCCTGGCGACCAGCTCCATTCCAACATCTTTCGGCCTTTACTGAAGTTCAGAAGCCTGCACTGTGTCCAGTTCATGAACATAGGAGAATACTGCCTTGATGACGAGTTCCTCGAGGATATTGCTGTTGCGTGGCCGGATCTTCGTATGTTGAAATTTGCCGCAGAAACGCATGCCCGTGGTCGGGTCACCCTTACTGGAATGCTTTCGTTGGCGACAAGGTGCAAGTCCTTGCGATTCCTGCAATTAACATTCGATGCCAGGCATTTTCCGACACTTCCCCGTGCACCGGATGGAAACCTGGAACTTTGGACCATGCAAACAACCCTCCGCTGGCTGCATGTCGAATGCTCGAAGGTCTCGGAGGCATCACATCTTCATCTCTTACTGGCTGTGTTGTTCCCAAATCTAGCCTGTCTCTACTATAGTCCCCATTGCTCAGGCGCTGATCCGGCGTGGGGTCGATTAAAGACTGCATGGAGAAACCTGAAGATTCGGCGGAAAAAATATCCATACTATGCAGTCTCCTGGTCAAACACGCTCCTGCAGCTACAGCCTGGGTTGGATGGCGAAATGAGAGATGAAGAAGGGGAAGGGGAGGAGGGGAGGAGGGGGAGGAGACCGATGACGAGTACTTACCTTGAGGATCAACAGGAGGTCTCAGTGTGACCAGCCGAGACTGCTTATGAAATAGTGCGATTTGTTAGCTATTGTATATTCGTTTGCTCTGTATATATATCATGATATTCCTGGTGTTTGTGTGCCTCAGGCTCAAGGTAGCAATGCTGCGGTTTGTCCACTGCCTAGAATCACTTGCTGTTTATATGTCTAGTCGCCGCTTTGAATGAGTAAACCTTATCGTTTTGCTATGGTTAGAATGCCATGAAACATACACTCAGGGATCTTCACATTCGAACAGTGGTTTTAATATGAGCATGAGAAGTGCGAACTTCCTGGGTTTTGGCCGGCATATAGTTCAAGGACGTGATCGCACTTACTGGCTACATAGCTGCATAAGATTCAATACTGATCAGATGATTGATATTTGTGAAGGAAAGTGAAACACGCGGGCTGTATGGTCACAGTATAACACCAATATTTATGAGACCGTTCCGGTCAATCTCAAGTGTCAACACCCCTTAGGATCCTATCGTCTTTGTAGTAATGTATACTACTGATCACGATCTAACATTACAATTTGCGAGGTTCGTGCACTTGCAGTAGTCTTGTACACCTTCTTCGTTGCACTCAGTACTGTAGCTTTTCCGAGTCCGAGTCATCTTGATGCTTATACTTACTTTTAATCATCATTTCGTATCATGGATCGACATTCTTTCAACGAGTGTGCTCCTCCAGGACGCATGCGATGGCGTAATCGATAATCTGTACGATATCGAGGACCTGATAGAAGCTAGTAACATGAGCTCGCCATGCACGTACGCTCCTGCCGCAAAGGGTGGGGATCTCCCTTTCCTCAGTGCATAGAAATGTCATACGTAGGTTTTTGTACCCTAACCGGACAAAAATTGGATTCAAAAAAACAAAAAGGGTGGGGTCCTCCGTGCCAGGCGCGCAGAGCTTTTACTAAAAATCGTCAGAGGGTCAGTGGTTTTAACAAGCCCTGCGTTTCAATTAAGGTTCTATTACATAATGTTGGGCTTGTATGCCATGACCAGTCTCACTTTACCTCCGCAGAGGTGTGTCAACCTTGCTTTCTTGAATATCGTAAGTCAACGAACGAAGTATTAGTTCACTCGCATCTCGCATCATGATTTACTGTGATACAGTGAGTACATACCCGCATATTTTACCAGGTTGAGTATTTCCTGACAATTTCATCAGAGGCAGCCTGAACGCATTTAACACTTGGTGGGTGGTTGATGCGATGAACACGGAACGGTCCTTAGTATGACACTCAGCATGTCTGTCAATCTCACCTCTTACCTTCACCTAATGCTTCGACTGCACGGATCTATCGACGCCTGCCATTTTCTCTACCTCTGTCGAGACCACCCTTGATGATACGGTCAACGGTTTCCTCGGATCATTCGTAGGCTGACCATGGATTCTTTTTATGGATAGACTCAGGATAGGACGTGCGTCTAGATTGGAAATGTAATCTAGCCGCGGTACCTCGCCTGTCCATGAACTTTACACTGTTGCCTCTAAAGAGAGGAAGCTGCTGAAAGTTGAGAATAATCACTATTAGCGCATCTGTGGCTGATCTCTTTTGTTTCGCGTCTCCCAGACCTTATGATGGCCCAATATTCGACTGCAACCCTCGTAAAGCAAGTCATAATTCCATCTGCCGACACTCCTGAAGTCATCGGCAATTGCCGGGAATCTTACGTCGATACTGGACTCCACCTACCTTGGAAACAGTGAAGCGCGGCTTTGTCTTAGGTGCTCTTTAACCTCGGAAATTCGCTGTAGCAAGCTCACGAACAGAATACAACATAGCCTACGTGATCCCCACCCGCACGTGAGTGCAAGACTTGTTGGCATCTTGAATACGATTATTTTTACTCTGCATCTGATATGTGCGTGAACAGTGATGAAGCGTCCGTGCAAGGTCATCTTGTAGTTCAGCAGTAACGCATTCGCAACTCGGAACCTCGGTGCGCACTGACTTTCCTAACATATTATAGACGAATGAAGATATCATTCCTCCTAATTACAAGTGTGCATGGTCATTCATTGTTTTTGACGTGTCTGACCAGCTATCATTTTAAGAAACGTTCCCTTAAACAGTCTCGATGCCTCGACTGGTGCTTGAATCGAGGGTCTGTTGTCAATACACAGATCCTTGCTCGGACCTCTAGTAGCTGGCGTAGACCTCCTTGGCTGCTGCTTAGAGGACAACCGATGGTGGGCGGCAAAGCAAGCGCTTAGCAATTGTCTCAAAGCTACTCTTCATAGCTGGTGAGGCTTTGACGTGAGGAGTGGACAGCGGAGTACGCTTATCTTCCGGCAATGCCTGCAGCGAACGCTGTACTGTGAGTACTCCACACTCAGCGAAAAAACATTCCGTTGTACAGTGATGGACAATAGCCACGTCCCAAGTGCCAGTGGAATAAAAATTTCATGTCAGCTATTGTCTACAACGGAGCAGCCGATGTGCCATAAGCTCAATGACTGGACGCTACCACAGCAAAGGACCTGATGACCCGTGGATCTGTGGACACGGTTAGTTATATATAAGGATCGTCCTAAATGGTCGAGGGATACCAACAACTCAATCATGCATCACGCTCTGAAAGTCGACTATATCGTCTACGAAATCCTACAACATGTCAAGCCCTCCAAGTCGGACTTGCTAAACATGGCAATGACCTGCTCCACTTTCTCCTCTATCGCTCTCGACATGCTGTGGTGTCAACAGGACAACTTGACACCCCTCGGTGAAGTGTCTCCCGCAAGACACTTGGAATGTCTGTCATGATGGCACTATTGTGAGCGATGTCTTCCATTTGAGCCTTGACAGGACGATGCTAGCCGCACTCCAATTTTTAGATTTTTTCACGCGAACCGCTACTCCCGGAATGGGAGCGTGTCAGAATCAATGCGGCAAGGATACGCAAGTTTACGGTCACGCAGTACACCGATCGTTTCCCGAAACTAAGTGGCCCTGTCCTACGGCAACTGTTCACGCTGTTCCCGCCCGCGATGCTCTTTCCTAGACTGTGCACATTGGATTTCAAGGCGGTGTCCCTGGATTCGCTGGATGTTGCCTCAGACTACCTCTGGCTGCTTCGCCAATTCTCCTCGCCTGGATTGAAAAGACTCGTATTTAACATACCGCGAGGCGTCTCGAGGCCCGAGCTAGAGCAATTTCTTGGTGGTCTTTCTACAGACGTGTCTTCCTTGCAACACCTGGCAATACATCAGCCCAACCCGCACGTTCCGGAGTGTCGTTATATAGTACCAAAGCTGCCGGAGAAGTTAAATGGGTTGGTTATCGGTCCAATCCCCATGAACCTGATGAGGCAAAATATTGCCAACATCCAGCATTTGCGTTGTCTCCAATCCCTCGAACTGGATCTGGAGGGATTGAACAATATGGAAACCCAACCGTCAGGCGATATGTCGCTCGAATTGAGTACCCTCAAATGTCTCAAACTCTCTGGGGCCCGCTTGGAATTTTGCGTATCCTTCCTTGATCATATTGCCATGCCACGACTGTCGGTGATCAAAATCTCATATTACAGAGCTGGTGCTAAACCAGCCGAAATTACCGCGGTTTTCAAATCCATATGTACGGCTTGCAAAACATTTGCATTCCTGAAAGAGATCACTGTGGTCGACTCTTCGCCTCACATCATGAACATTCTTGGGCCTGAAGACGAACTCCATTCCTCCATCTTTCGGCCTTTACTCCAGTTCCAAGGCCTGACCAGTGTCCGGTTCAGCAAAATCGGAAAATACCACCTTGACGACGCGTTCATCGAGGATCTTGCAGTTGCTTGGCCGGATCTTCGTGCGTTGAGATTTGCCTCACTGGCAATACTAGATGACCACCGTCATGTCACCCTTACTGCAATGCTTTCGTTAGCGACAAGGTGCAAGTTATTGCAAGACCTGCATATAACATTCGATGCCACGCATTTTCCGACACTTCCTCGTGCGCCGGATGGGAATACAGAACTTTGGACCACGCAAACAGCCCTCCGTCAGCTGAATATCGGATGTTCGAAGGTGTCGGACGCATCGCATCTTCACCTCTTACTGGCTGTGCTGTTCCCAAATCTGGTCGATCTTCAGTATAATCCCCAGTTTTCCTATGGTTCGGTGTATTTGGCATGGAAGAAATTCCAGACTGCATGGAGAGGACTGCAGATCCAGCGGAAAAACTCTCCAGACGAGGCGGCCTCTTGGTCGAACACCCTCATGCAGCTGCAACCCCGGTTGGAGGACGCCAACAATTTACTGTGAGGAACAACAGAAGGTCTCAGTGTGACCCAGTCGAGACTGCTTGTAATATAGTGCGATATTGTAGCTATTGTATATACGTCTGCTCTGTATATATCATGATGGTTCCCAGTGCTTGTGTGTGTGTGTGTGTGTGTGTGTGCCCGAAAGTAGCGAGGCGTGAATAAATGTAAATCAAGTTGTACTAGTTCGTTGTGTTCACTTTATCACCACTTCGAATCAAGTCCTACGACTGCCGTTTTACTGGACTGATACCGAGAGTTATGGAACGTCGTGTAACATGATGCATGTACTCAAGGGATGTATTGCAGACACTGTCAAAACTGATACTGACATCCGATTAGTTTATACAATTATACTGAGTATGAGAAGTGGAACCTTCATGGGTCGGTAATAATCAGACTTAGTAGACTCAGAGTTTTGGCCAGCCTATATTCAAGGACTATCCCAAATCTGAGACGAGCGCAAGAGCAAACTAACACAACATCGAAAAGAATCGAATACAGTACAATAAAAAGCTCTACAGAATACCTCTGATACATAAAGGTACCTACGCATACACTCCCCTAGCAGAATATCAATAATAAAAAAACCCACAAATACAAACTACTAAAATGATACACACAAAAAGCCATCCTGTGCGTCGAATAGATATTCGAGAATTCCTTGGTAGTGTCGTGTTCGATCTGTTTCCCTCTTTTGTTTGTCTCCGTACTTGCTTTCTCATCTTGGTTCTGCCCCCCGGACGATTTGCACCAACGACCTACCCGAAGACATTGCCCCAAATGCCCGATTCACACGGCCTCGCAGCCCAGTGGTCAATACGGTCAGCACGCCGCCATACCCACCCCGGGTGCAGCTGAACAGTGCGAAGTCCAGGACAAGTACGGTTCCATGCGATCTACGGGCAGAAGAACATGATTAGTGCCAGGAACACGATCAAGATAGAACAAAGCAGACATACGATAAGTTCGCGAGTGTAATCGTCAAATGGCTCCGACATTCGAGGTTCTTCAGACTCAGACTCAGACTTGCATTTAGATTAGAAATGTAATAGACATTTACCTTGCTCGTCCGTAAAGTCTATGGCGACGTCTTGGGAGAAAGGCAGCCGCTGCAGGCTGAGAACACCCTCCATTAGCGTATCTGTGACTGTATCGATATCATGCATGCTCTCAAAGTAAGTATCGTCGATACCAGGGGCGCCGTATAAGGTATCGTCATCACGCTTCCTCACTTCAAGGACACTTTGAGGGGGCAGGAGAAGTGGAATACGGAAGATGTGTGCGGATACGAGGTGTGGAAGAGCGTATAGTGTACGCGAACCCATACCGAGTATAGTATCCTGAAAGTGGGTCGGGAACGAGGTGACAAGAAATGAGAGAAATGTAACACACCTCGCTTGGCCCTCCTCTTGCATACCTCACTTGTAACTTAGTTAAATTAGGAAAACGCGCGACGATGGCCAGCACGACTTCGTCATCCCACTCCCCTATGAACAGTGAGAGCTCTTGGACCCTCGATAAGTGAGAGTGCACTTCTTTAAATGCCTGGTAGAGTGACGTCAGCACGGCCTCGTCGCGGATATCAAGTTTGATGATACTGCGTCCGGAACAGATAGAAGATATGGCAGATAAAGGGGCAGAAATAGCACAGAGGGCTGGAAGAGCGCTCGGTGATGGTGAAAGGGTAGGGACGTGGTTTCGCAAGATGAGAGTGCGGAGGGAGGGAAGAGTCTCGAGGAACGAGATGAAGCCTGGGGGAACTCTAGAACGGTCTCTATGGATAGGGAACTTTACGTCGAGAGCAGTGAGTTGCGGAGGTGGGGAGGAAGACGTGAAAACACGATGTAACCAGACAGTGTGGTCATATGTGAGAGTACGGATGGTGGGGACTTGTGCAAGCATTCGTAGATGAGTGCGAGGATTGCGAGGATTGGTGTCATCATCATTAGATAGGAAGACAGCGCGGATATCGAGGAGGGTAAGTGATTGAAGTTTCAGAGAAGTGTGATCAACATCTATATAGATACCAGCGAAGTGAACAGTGCAGTGCACGACTGCTAAATCACGCAAGTGTGGAAGGTCACGCAGAATGGAGTGTAAATCTTGCGGGAGAAGCATACCACGGAAGACGAGCTGTCTGAGCGAAGTAAAAGATGCCACTTGGGTAAGGAGATTTTCGTAGACGGTAGCGTCGGCAAGGAAGCGTGGTTGGTAGGCATCCTTGATTTGGAAGAAGCGATACCTGTTTGTTTGCCGGTTGAGGGGAATGGGTGTCCAGTCGTCAGCTTCCGCCAGGGAAACAAGAGCGACGGCTTCTTTTAGTTGCTCCACGGGACGTTCCACGAGGGGGGATATACCAAGAAGAAGAGCGCGTGGTAAAGGTTGGATTGAAGACAACGCTGAGCACGCCGCTACAAACGATGTCGGAGACGTCAGAATCAGATGCTTGTAAAGAAGACGAATAGCGATTGCATGAAAGCTCTTCGAGGTCAAGACAACATTACGAAGTGACTGTGAAGGTAGATATTCGAAAATTGAAAGCCAGAGTTCATTTGGAAGCGTCACTGGATAAATGACTGTCGGCGGAGGTGCAGGTGTAGACATTGATAGACAAATTTTTCACATGCAAGATCTCGGGACTTGAGTACTTATAAAGCAAAGTTATGAGGTTGTGCTTCTGCTTCGTCGTATCACATGACTGACCAATGTTTCGGACTTGAAAGCTTGAAAGACTGTTAACGCCGAGACAAACGCGTCGAGTGAAATGCTAGTCAGATGGGAATCTGAGGAGAGATGGAGGATAGTTGTGATATAGATGAGACTTGTTAAGATACGCGTTAGAGATGGGTAGCACATACTGGTTTATATTCAAGGCATATCAAAGGCTAGACGTCAAAGACTCGAAAGGATAAAGGTACTAGTCGACCGGTAACTAGTACTGATCAAAATACAAACAAATAAAGATACCCAGTTTCCGACTACGAATCTCCGAAGAGTCGAGTCCTTGAAACCAAATAATCGATTGCTTCGATTGCATATCCAGCGAAGTTCGGTAACGAGCACAAGATTTTAAAAAAGCATGGTTTTTGGGGAGAGCCAGAGTTTGGAGAACACGGTGTTGATCGCAGAGGGAGAGGAGGATCTGTCAACATCTTGTGAGTCGGCCGTTTGAAATGTGTATCTTTGACTTGCTCGCTGAGGTCCTAGTCCACATCCCTGTCTCCACTTACCCTTCTCAGGCTTGTGCAGGCCGTTCTCGTTCTAGCACTGGCGCGTGTATTTGGTGTTGAGACCCTTCACTTTCAATATTGGGCGAGTATTCCTCATTCTCCGAAGGCTCGCGGTATAGTATTAACCTCCCATGTTATCGACCACATGCTTTCTAATACTCGCCCTCTGTGAGTCTGTCGAACGCTATCTTGGACCGAGTTCGACAACACGCTCGCGGCTACGGTCACCGACAACGTATTCCTCAGGCCGTGCAGCATTCACGTCCATTTACGAGACCACGGAGGCAGAATTCCCAACACTGCTTTTCCCGCCTTCATCCCTCCGCCGCTTCCAGGTTCTGCGACAAAGAATATTCAAGTTCTTGATTTGACGACAAAATAATTGGCCGTGCTCCTGTATTTGTTGCTGAACCTGAGACTTTCTGTGGATTTGGTATCGTTGTGGGACGACAAAGGGAGAATTACGGTGCTATGCAAAGTAGTACCATGCGCATCGCGACGAAGCTGAAAGGAGCCAGCGAGTCTGGGTTGACACGCTGTTTTCCATCTTCGCAGTTCAATATGAGTAGTTTCTGACTGTGTATTGTACTGTGCTGAACGGCGCTTTCAGCTTCGGTCCTCGTAGTGGCGTATTGAATATTGTCTCGCGCTTGCCAAGTGTAATAACCGATACAGTAGACGTCCAGAAGAGTGGATCATATGCAGAAATACAACAATTAGCCTATATTTACATAGAAAACGTATAACCTACAATACGTATGCTTATGTGTTTGCAACACCAACTAACGACTCACGAGTAACATGCCTTGTCACGGTAAATGCCCAAGTTCGACCTGTTTCTAACATATTCATTCTCTCATTCCCAATACCCTTTTCTTCCCAATTGCTACTTCTTCCTCCACGCATTCTGAACTAATGATCTCCTAGTCACATCTGCATGGTTATCGTCTGGGATGATGTCCAGCCAGTGGCAGTGTCGCGTGCTTTTGATTCAGCATTTTTTATGATATCTGCAAGTAGCCTCGCGTCGCAAGGTGGCGACTCGAAAACATCGCCAAAAATGCCTGATTCGCACGACCTCGCGATCCAGGAGTCAGCAGGGTCTGCGCGCCGCCACACCCATCCAGGGTGCAGCTGAACAGTGCGAAGTCCAGGACAAGCACGGTTCCAAGCAATCTACACGCAAAAACGGACATGATCAGAACACCCAAAACCGTAATTCAGATACAACATAGTAGACGTACGACAAGTTCACGAGTGTAATCGTCAAACGGCTTCGTCTCCGATACCTGAGGCTCTTCGAACTTGGATTCAAAGTTGCGATTGTGCTCCAAATTATTGATAAATTGGTTGAAACGCTTCTGCTGCTTGGCAACCGTGCACTCTTGGCACGGCGACCCAATGGGAGTCCCGTGGCAACAATACACCATGTACGTGACTAGGTCCATACCCACATCCAAGTCCAAGTCCGTGTCTATGTCTTGATAGTCGGCAGGAAGTGTGTTATGCGAGCTGCGAGCGTGGTGTCTGTAGTAAGGTACGCCATAATCATCGTTGTTGTCTTGCACCGGGCTGGTGTCTGTGTCCGGATCGATGTCATGCATGCTCTGGAAATAAGTATCGTCGATACCAGGGGCGCCATATGCGGTGTCGTCATCAAGCTTGTTCGTCTCGAGGAAATTTTGAGGGGGTGGGGCAAGGGAGATGCAGAAGATGTGTACGCATGAGAGGTGTGGAAGAGCATACAGTGTACGTGAACCCATTCCGATGATAGTGTCCTGGAAAGAAGTGTCAGTGTCGGTAAAAAGAAACTTGAAAATGAGGAAACAATAACGCACCTCGCTTGGCCCTCCCCTTACATACCTGATTTGTATCTTGGTTAAATTAGGAAAATGTGCGACGATAGCCAGCATAAGCTCGTCGTCCCAGTCCCCTACGAACAGCGAAATCTCTTGCACCATCGACAAGTCGGAGTGCACTGTTGTAAATGTCTTGTAGAGTGGTATAAGCACAACCTCATCACGGATGTCGAGTTTAACAATGTTACGGCCGGAACAGAGAGAAGTGATGACAGAGAAAGGAGCAGAAATAGAATACAGAGCTGGAAGAGCGCTTGGCGACAATGAGAGTGCGGGCACATGGTTTCGCAGGATGAGAGTGCGAAGGGAGGGAAGAGTCTCGAGGAACGGGATGAAACCCAGCGGAACTCTGGGACGATCTTTCTGGGCGGGGAACTTGACGTCGAGAGCAGTAAGCGGGGAGGACGGGGAGGAAGATGTAAAAGCACGGTGTACCCAGATGGTATGATCATATGTGAGAGTGCGGAGGGTGGAGGCTTTTGCAAGCAGGCGTAGACGGGTACGGGGAAGATTCAAGTCGTCATCGTCGGGTCGAGAAGTAGCGCGGATGTCAAGGAGGGTGAGAGTTTCGATCTTCAGGCAGGTGTGGTCAATATCTGGAGGAGCACGGACGAAGGGAACAGTGCAATGCACAACCGCCAAATCGCGCAAGTGTGGAAAGTCGTGCACGATGGAGTGGAAATTGCCTGGGAGAATCATACCGCGGAAGACGATCTGTCTTAGAGATGTAAAAGAAGTCACTTGTGATAGGAGAGTGTTGTAGAGGGTCGTATCCGCAACCAGGCTTGGTTGATAGACATCCTTAGTTTCAGAGAAAAGAGACGTGGTCAATTGGCGATTGTTATTAGCACTGACAGTAATTGGCTTCAACCCGTCAAAGGAAACAACAGCAACAGCTTCTTGTAGTTGCTCTATGGCGCATACGAACGGGGAAATACTAAGAAGAAGAGCGTGAGGTGAAGGCTGGATGGAAGATAGAGGGGAATGCGCCGTTGCAAACGATGTCGGGGACGTCAGAATCAGATGCTTGTAAAGAAGACGAATGGCGACTGCATGGAATTTCTTGGATGTTAAGACAACGTTACGAAGTGACCACGGAGGCAGATATTCGAAGATTGGAAGCCAGAGTTCATTTGGAAGTGTCATAGACGAAGACACAGCTGTCGACATTGACGATAACATCCTCATTCACGAATAAACTTGGACACCAAATAAAGGCACACGCTTTGTAAGGTGTAACATATTGACAAGGACAAAGTAAGCAAAGTATCAAAATTATTTTTCCTTGATCATATTAGCCAACCGTTTTGCAGCTTCTTTAGATATCCCACAACGCTTCGTGAGATGAGGAACAAGATCCTTGCTTTTCACGTGCGAATTCACTGCAAGTAGCACCTTGAGCTTGCGCATGAACGAGACGAATAGGTTGTCCCCTCCCATCCATACTTGCTTCTGCCTATCAGCAACATGATTCTTGACAAGTTCGCGGATCGTGACTTGCGATTGTTCATAAAGAATTTTGCATCTGCCTTCCAGTTTATCGGCGGCAGTGATGCACGCGTGACCGGCAACATCGATCCGATATTGTTGGATGGTTTTGTGTTCTTGATCCCACCAGTCCTCCATCCTCTCCTGGTTTTCGAGGTGTGTGATCGCAAGGACAATGGGAACTTTCTTCTCGCAGAGGAATTCGTAAAAGAGCCGGTAATTGCTCTGAAGAGTAGCGCTCACTCTGCCGGCACGCATGCAGAATAGAAGCAGATCAATACCGCCTTGCTTATCCAATTCCCTGACCAGCGTGTAGGCGTTTTCGACTGAGTTGAGGTAGTCATCGATTTTAAGCTGCGGTTCCTCGAGTCCAACGGTATCGAAAACCTTATACGACTCCCCATCAAAGTCGATGGCATAGTCTTGCCAATGGAGCGTGCAGCTTCTCGCACCAAGAGATGTCTTTGCTACCCCCTCTCCCGCTATAAGGTTCAGGATGGAGCTTTTGCCTACTCCACTCGCTCCAAAGAGTACGATCTTCTTTCTAATTATTGATGTTTAACAAAATACGACATGACGCTGCATCTGACGATGAAGCACGTACATCGGACAACATTGTGCGATAAGGTTGCAGAGGGCGTGGTATGACTGTTCGCGGCGCTGCTTGACCTTACTTGTATCGCCTTGATTAACGGTTAACGCAGTAATACACGCATGGCCAGCAAAGTCCATCCCGAGGTCTGAGAGGGATCTCTCGTTACTCCTCCACCAATCTTCCATATCCGGTTCTCGGCGTTCTAGTCCTGTGACGACAAGGACGATGGGAACATTTCCCTTGAACTTGGACAATAATTCGTAGTTGCGTCGGAGTGCTGAGACATTCTTTGCGCCCTGCACACAGTACATGAGGATGTGGATCTTCTCAAGAGTTTGAAAGAGTTTCTTCAAGGCATTCTCAGCTTGATGATTGGGGACCGTTCCCTGAGGGCCCTCGCCGAGACCTGTAATTTAGTTCAGTGGCATTCACGAAAAATGGTGGACTGCACTGACCGGCCGTATCGAACAGTTGCACCTTTAAGGTCCTATTCTGAACCACAACGCCATGCTCATACACAGTAGTTTGAGTCGTACATCCCTCAGCGTCGAGGGACGTTGGTACTGCCTGCGTCCTGGTAATCAAGTTGACCAAGGAACTTTTACCAGCGCCTGTTTGTCCAAAAATGACAATATTGTAAGTGTCTTTGCGACGTGAAGCTTGCTCGAGTTCAAGTTTGTAGCTAGCTGCACTCTGATCTGAGATGTGGGACTGACTTCGGGTTAATGTCATACCTGTGGAAGAGCAGACACTACTTACGATGGACGATGCTATCCTAGGAGACGGCGACATTGCAAAGATTGAAGACGATGAAAGGGGCATCCTGCCTTGTTGGTGTTCTTAAGTACCATTATAGTCTTGCCTTCAGTCCCCGATTCGTTAGAGTGTGACGTGTCCAGGCCCTTGATGTAAAGATCAATCCCAACGCCTGAATTCAGCATGTTCCAAGCATGTAACAGAAACATTGCAATACGTAACGTACTTAGTTTCCAAATGATTGAGGCCAGAGGACCCTGGGGCCTGGTTCAACCCTCAGACCTGTAGTCTCACCTTGTAGTAGCCAGACTGGGCAGAGAGGGTCTCGTTAGAACGTGACAAGTCTGAGTCTAGTAGGCGTGCCAGATATGAAGATCGATCCCGATGCCTGGACACAGCATGCTCAATCGGCGAAATTAAACAACAATCAAGAACAATGATACGATACACTAGACTTTGTCAACCTATGATTGGACTTGACAGAGAAAGAGGGACGTCAAAATCCGAAGCGGTAGAGTTAAAATTATAGTTACAGTCACTGCGATAAAAAAAAAAAAGTATAAAATTAAGTGGTACTTACAAGTTACGTAATTTTGGTCTGGTATCACTCACAAGTTACAACCCATAACCGCAATGCATGCATAGAACACGCTGAATCCAGGCGTCATGAACGATCTTTGAATCTGGAGCCCGGATGCGTCACGAATCAGAAACTGAAGGCGAGACTATTACGTTCAAAAACAATGCAAGTCAATAAGCCTCTTTGTTATTTCCATTTTTCACAATGTCGTTGGCTCCATCGTCCACTGGATCAGTATGTGGTGTCCGGCTTTTCTTCAGCATGAATTTAACCCGAAGCCAGTTCCACGCTTTAGATCAGAATTTAGCTGACCATGATAGTGTTATTGCTGGAGCAACAAGTGCCACTAAAAGTTCCTCGGTCAACTTGACCACGGAGATGCAAACAGTGCCGATGTCTCCCAACACAGTGCCGTCGTTCCTTGAGACTGGAGTATTGTCTGCCGAACCCGTATGGTGTCTGGCTCTCCTTCAGCATGAAGTTAACTTGAAGTCAGGTTCACACCTTAGATCTCCATCCAGCTGGCCACGATTCTATCCATGATGGTGTCATGACTGCTACTAAAAGTTACTCAGCCAGCTTGACCACCGAGAAGTTAATGGTGCTGATGTCCACCGATGAAACGTCGTCGAATCCTGAGGCTGGGAAAACATTATCCGCCGAATCCGTATGTGATGCCTGTCTCTTCCTCAGCGTAAAGTTAACTTGAAGACAGGCCCACACCTTAGATCAGACTTCAGCTAGCGATGATTTTCATGTGGTCGACGGTGTCACTGCTGGAGTGACAGGCGCCACCAAAAGTTCTTCGGAAACACATACTGCTAGTACTTATTGGTTTAACTTATTTCAAGCGCTAATGTCCAATGACGCAATGACTATGGCGCACTTCTACGAACTGCGCTCCAGGAGACCATCGTCCACTGTATGTAGTATCTGCTCTTCCTCGGTATGCCGTTAACTCGAAATCAGTCTCGTACGTCAGATCAGAGTGCAGTCCACTTCAAACGCATTGGACTCAAGAAAGCTTCACGTCGCAAAGACACTTGCAATATTGTCATTTTTGGACAAACAGGCGCTGGTAAAAGTTCCTTGGTCAACTTGATTACCAGGACGCAGGCAGTACCAACGTCCCTCGACGCTGAGGGATGTACGACTCAAACCACTGTGTATGAGCATGACATTATGATTCAGAATAGAACCTCCAAGTTGCAACTGTTCGATACGGCTGGTCAGTGTAGTCCGCCATTGTTCGCAGGTGTCACTGAACTAAATTACAGGTCTTGACGAGGGCCCTCAGGGAACGGTCCCCAATCGGCATGCTGAGAATGCCTTGAAGAAACTCTTTCAAACTCTTGAGAAGATCCACATCCTGATGTACTGTGTGCAGGGCGCAAAGGATCTCTCGGAGCTCCAACGTAACTACGAATCATTTTCCAAATTCAAGGAAAATGTTCCCATCGTCCTTGTCGTCACAGGACTGGAAAATCGAGGGTCGGATATGGAAGATTGGTGGAGGAGTAACGAGAGATCCGTCTCAGATCTCGGGATGAACTTTTCTGGCCATGCGTGCATTACTGCGTTGACCATCAATCAAGACGATACAAATGAAGTCAGACAGCTCCGCGAACAGTCATACGACACCATTTGCAACCTTATCGGACAGTTTTGCCCACATAATGAGACGGGGGTTCACGAGGTGCCTACTATTGCAAGGTAGGTACTTCGTCGCCAAATGATCTTTGTGACGAACTTTGTTAAACATTGATAAATTAGGAAGACTAAAAATATTGTACTCTTTGGGGAGGCGGGTGCAGGCAAGAGCTCAGTCGTTAACCTCATGGCAGGAAAGGAGGTCGCAAAGACATCTCTTAGTATGCAACGCTGCACGCTCCATTGGCAAGACTATGTCATCGACTTCGATGGGGAATCTTATAAGGTGTTCGATACCCTTGGCATCGAGGAATCAGGCCTTGAAATGAAAGAGTATCTCGCGGCAGTCGCAAACGCCTATAGGTTCATCAAGGCGTTGGACGCGGAAGGCGGTGTTGACCTGCTTCTGTTCTGCATTCGCGCTGGCCGATTCACTGCCGCACTTCAAAGCAATTATAGATTCTTTCATGAATTCCTCTGTGACAAGAAGGTTCCCATCGTTCTCGCAATTACGAACCTCGAAAGAGAGGAGAGGATGGAGGACTGGTGGGAGCGAGAACACAGTATCTTCACTGAATATCAAATCCACGTTGCTGACCACGCGTGCATAACCGCCGTCAAATTAGAAGGCGTACGTCAACAACTCTATGCAGAATCGCGTGACGCGATCCGCCGCCTTGTCAAGGAGAATGTTGCTGGCGAGCACAATCGTGTATGGACAGGAGGGAATAACGCGTTCATGTTGATGGTGCATGCGCTGAAGAAGATTCTTGTGAAGAGTCCGCGTATCAGAAAGAGGACCCTTGCAGGACGACTCGTGAAGTATTGTGGCATATCCCGAGAAACCGCAGGACGATTAGCCGACATGATCGAGCAGGAGAGTTCAAAGTGACTAGTACTTAACTTCTGTCTTGTTGTGCTCTACTTGACATCGACCTTGGAGGATCCAGGACACATATGACTAGGCGTTTCTTATTCCCGCTCCTTTATCAAGTACTGTACAGTAAACTGTCATCTCTCCCAATTTGAATATGAACATTATATAAGTCTATTGTGCGGGACGGAGACACTGTTTTAAGAAATTTGCCGCCACCGACGGTGGGAAATTCTCGGCATTTCATCACCTTTGGGTCAGCAAGTCGTTCGGCGGTGACGGATATGACCCTTTATACTCCCTTCAGCTCGCGCTGAACTTACTCAGGGCTACTTGACGGTTGAAATGTCAGAGATTCAGCCCATGATCGCTCCGCAGGAGGACGGCTCTGGTAGCGTACCAGAAACAGCACACGAACCACCACAACCAACGCCTATCACAGACCAAGAGGTGGGAGAATATCGGGAGCAGGATCGTTTCCTACCGGTGTGCACTGTCGTTCGTCTGGCTTGATTGACTTGTTTATCTTTATGATAGATTGCAAATGTCTCCCGTATCATGAAGCAGTCCGTTCCACACACCGCTAAGATTGCTAAGGATGCCAAGGAGTGCGTTCAGGAATGTGTTTCAGAGTTCATAAGTTTCATTACATCTGAGGCCGCTGAGAAATGTCAGATGGAGAAGCGGAAAACAATCGGAGGCGAGGATATCCTGTACGCCATGGTGTCTCTAGGGTTTGAGAACTATGCAGAAACACTGAAGATTCATCTAGCAAAACTGAGACAGGTGCGTATTTGTTTCGTGACATGCTTTATGGGTTGTATTAAAATTAGTGTCAGCACCAAGCAGGATCCTCGTCGAACCCGCGACAAGAACATAGAGAAGATTGATTCTACCTTTGTACCCTGTACTATACCACTGTATCAACTTGGCAATTCCCATGTTTTGCAGCTTACCTTGCTGCTTTCCATGATGTGATTGCCAACGCCCGAAGTCGACTTGGAAGTTTGAGTAGTACATATGCAGTGGCAGCGTCGTCCAACAACTCCCGGTGCTTACTGAGGTGTCTTGGACTAGATCTCCTTAGCACGCTTCCACTGCAGCGGCTAATAGTAACATGTACATGTATTCCAAACACAAGGACTCAGTTCGATTTTCCAGGTACGATTAGATTTACGGTGAATTCACGCAGAATTCACGGGTACTATTGAAGTGATTCGGAACAACCTTTCGGCAAATTCCGTGCCAAACTCCGACACATCATTTCGACTATACCACCAGCGTCAACGACGTCGACGGACACCCTCAAATAATCCCCCATGACTGTAAGTCGCTGTTCTGTGTATCTTAACCCCTTGATAGAGCATGTCATCATTTCTGATCCTATTTTCGATGGAAATTGGTCGAGTTTGAGATGGATGAAGGTGCCACATATCCGATGTAGTCAATGCATTGGTGGAACGCCCATATTATATGGCGCATAGCGAACGATCATTGTGTCTCGGATTATTGATCGAATGAGATTCTAATATTCACTTTTAGGACTCAACTTTCAAACGTTTCGTAGAGGTTGGACGAGGTACGATTGCCTATGACTTGTGCTGCACTAAACGAGCTGAAATGTCAACAGTGGTCCTTCTCAAGTCCGGCCCATCTGCAGGCAAGATCGCTGTCATTGCTGAGATCATAGACCACAACCGGGTGTGTGTAATGATATTATACACGAGAAAAATCAACTGATCTCATACTGTCCTGCCAATATATAGGCAATCATCGATGGCCCAACCACCGGCGTACCACGCCAATCCTTCCCCTACCGCCACCTCACCCTCACCCCCATTGCTCTAACAAAACTTCCTCGCGGCGCAGGATCTGGTGTCATCCGGAAGCAAGCAGAGAAGGAGGGTATCGTTGCTAAGTGGGAGTCCTCAGCATGGGCCAAGAAGCGTGCTGCCATGGAGACAAGACGGTCGCTGAATGACTTTGAGCGGTTCAGCGTGATGGTCGCAAAGAAGCAGCGGAGAGATGTTGTCAGGAAGACCCTGGCCAAGGCTGCATAAAGGGATGTATGGATACAAAATATTGGACATCTTGGTAGGATGTCGCGTCGCTGCATGTTTCACACTTCCCTTACATCTGTTATGCTTATCACGATATATGCAAGCACCATGCCCGCACTATATTGCAAGCAATTCGCCTTGAAGTAAGATATGTTATTTTCAACTAGTCGACTTCTCCTGCGCTTGAGTGAAACCCCTCCTTGCTCTTTCGACCGTTGCTTCTGCCTCCACTTCTACTAGAGCAGCAGATGCCCAGCTGTGAAACCCCCCGTTGTCAAACGCTTCTCTAAGCCGGTTCTCTGCTTCTTGCCAGTTCCATCCCACAGGTTCAAGAGCAGGGTTTTCCGGATGCGCGTGATCATTACCACCATCTTGGCGAGTTTCAGATGGACGATATATTCGGTCTGAGAGGACCGGTAATTTAGTTAGCACCACATGGCGCATACGTTCCGCAAACTCGTTAGCCTAAGTATAAGAAAAAATTGTCTGAGTTCCAGAAAGAAGGGTCATGAGATTGCAAGGACGCACATCACGAGCATTGAGAGCTTTCATTACTCCCAAAATAGTGACTGTGGCACCCAGCGTCACCAGAGCAGTAGCGATGCTAAGGGCTTTGAGGGTGTACAGAGGACCATTAAAAAATTGTTCAGGGTTATTTTCATCCGATACAGGTGGTTTCAGAGGCGCCAGACGAGCTGGAACCTCCCTCGGTACTGTTTGTGATACAGGACGGGACCGTATTGGTGGCGAATGCAATGGGATATGCAGCGTTGATGATCCTCGCCCTCGCCGTGGAGGTGCAGCAGCTTCCCGAACATTCTGTGGAATAACACCGCGCCTATGCCGTCGTAGCATGACGATCGGCACTACAAGGGCTACAGATGAAAAGGCCAGCTGCGGTACATATGAACTACCAGTCCATGCAATCGATTGAATCGGACCGGGCTACTCACCAAGGTCACTGGAACCCATTTCGGAACTTGGTGACTAGATCCGAAGATACTTGTTCGTAGACCAGTAAAACCGTCTTCCTTTGTATCGTCGGAAGACGTTGTTTGTCGCGTCATTCGCGCTGGTAAAATGTCACCAAGCGCCGAGAGGAAGTCTTAGCAGAAGGATCACGTGGTGTCGACACACGCTTGCATTTCATCTACGAGTACGGTACATCCTTCGAATTTGTTACGAATCATCGGTCTGGCCAAACGCAAACGCTCAAGTCGATTGACATCCGCGACATTAAGTAGCGCTCACTTGTGAGTATTCATGGTAGCATTCGTGCACAGCTACTGAATAACATTTTCATTCCGGACGCGCACTGATAGCACCCATCGGCATATCGTCTTTGGCTTGTCTCGTTGCCGGTAGCTCACCGCACCATGTCAGACCCACGATTTGCGCGGTTGAAGACTGACCCCCGTTTTCGACGCCCCAAGAAACATATCTCAAAAGTCGTAGTTGACGAGCGTTTCAAAGGAATTTTCGACGAAGACAAGGCGGGAAAGAAATCGAAACAGAAAGGCAAAGGAAAGGAAAAACTGGGTGCGTTTCAAACTGTATCTCCTGCTGCTTCTCACCTCGTGTTGCGTTCACAGGCCGAGTGGATAAATTTGGTCGTAAAATTTCTGCAACTCATGAAAAGGACAACCTCAGGCGGTTTTATCGGCTGGAACATGAAGAAGACGAGGAGGCAGAAGATCCAGCTTCCACGATACCTGACTATGCTCGTGGTGGCATCCTCATGGAGTCCTCCGAGTCAGAGGCGGAGAGTCAGGATGCAGGTGACTCTGACGGCGAGAGCGATGGCCCTGGATTTGTCACATTAGGCAGAGACCTTGATGAAGAAGGCGAGATCGATCTTGATGAGAGTACACTTGCCGATCTGGACGCACAGGCTGCCGCATATGCGAGGACAGCCCCGGAGGACAACAGTAAACAAGCTACGGAGAAAACCAGAAGACTAGCTGTTGTTAATCTTGATTGGGACTATGTCCGTGCAGCGCATCTTTACAAAATATTTTCATCACTTGTTTCGCCAACTGCGCCTGCCACCCTTTCGGTGCCTGTTCCAATGCAACCAAAGGATGAAAAGTCTCTCCAGAACACGAAAAGCGCAAAAGCGACGGTCGCAAGAGGAAAGGTGCTGAGCGTCCGCGTCTATCCAAGTGAGTTTGGGAAAGAGCGCATTGCAAGGGAGGAGAAGGAGGGACCGCCTGTAGAGGTATTCAAAAAGAAAATAGAAAATGAAGAGGATGTGAATGAACGGACGATTCACGAAACCGGAGACGGAGCGGACTACGATGAAGACGCTTTGAGAAAATATCAGTTGGAGAGATTACGGTGCGCTATCTCCTTGCATATTTTTGGTGCAATGTTCAATGAAATGCTGAAAGGTATTATTACGCAATTGTTGAATGTGATACTGCCGAAGCTGCTGTACACATCTACAACGAACTTGAAGGTACCGAGCTTGAGCGTTCCGCAAATGTGTTCGATCTCAGCTTTGTGCCCGATGAGATGGCATTTGATGAAGAATATCGGTGAGTCCGGTGCGATATTATTTGTGAACATTCTTCTAACCAGAGACATGTACAGCGATGAGGCGACAGATGATCCTGGAACACAGTATCGAGCAGTAGAGTTCGTGACAGATGTAGGGAAATTTCATCGTTATTATGTATTTCTCACTCGTTCTGCACTCTTCAGGCTCTTCGTCATTCGAAAGTTAAGCTCACGTGGGATGATGATGATCCAGAACGCAATCACATTACTAGACGACCACTAACCAAAAAAGAGATCGAAGAAGCCGACTTCAAGGCATATATTGCATCATCATCTTCCGAGTCCGATAATGATATAGATCCTGTGTCAAAGAAGAGGAGCAAGAAGAATGTTCAGAGAGACAAGCTTCGCACATTGCTTCTTGCCGGAGATGACGACGAACTTCCAGAAGGGTGGGGTCGGGATGACGACGCAGGAAATCATGACGATGTGGACATGGAGATCACGTTCACCCCTGGTCTTACTGAGACCAAAAATCCCGAAGACGAGACAACAATGGAGGCATATCAAAGAAAGATGAGGGAGAAACGTAAAAAGAGAAAGGAGGAGGTCAAAGCAAATGCTACCACAGTCACGAACAATGAAAGTGGGGGACAGGCTGGGAAAAAAGTATCTTTCGATGACGACTTCTTCGAGGGCGTAAGTGGCAATGGCAGTGAGGGAGAATCGGAGGCAGAGAATGCATCGGGGTCGGCGAAGCAGATGTCAAAAACACGGGATGTCGACAAGCCAGTGTCACGCAAGGAGACAAAGTCAGACGTCAAAGTCGAGAAGAAGGGAAAAAAGAAAAGGGGAAAAAAGAAAGTGGTCGATGATGATGATGATGATGATGATGATGATGATGTCCAGGATGACTTCATTATCGACGTTAAAGATGATCGATTCAAGGCAATCCACGAGGATTATCAATTCGCCATCGATCCCAGCAATCCTCAGTTAGTACCTGTTCTTCATGTTATCCAACGATGCTGATTCATTCACAGCTTCAAAAAGACGAAAAGTATGGCGGCATTTATTGACGAACGAACCAAGCGCCAAAAAAGAAGTCTCCCTGAAGATGAGACAAGCGAACAACTCCCCGCAAAGGCGGATAACACCAGCCTCAAAAATCTCGTTGAGAGCGTCAAACGGAAAAGTGCAGCGGCCAGTCAGGGTGGATTTGGGAAGCGGCGTAAGCTATAGCCTCGATTTTTCGCGGTCATTGCATAGGCATGAAAATCTACATGGACCACGGGATCAAATTGTGAGGAAAACCGAATTAACAGCTAGGCCTTGAATGTCAGAGCGGACGGCGAGGTGCGCTTTATTGACAGGCGTTCAAATATCCGCGCGTCACAATGCCATCTTCCTCGTCCAACTAGACTTTGGCTTTGCACCTGTAATTTCTACTCAACCCGACTCATGCTCTTCAACCCAGGGGAGGTCCCGACGGATGATCCTACTTAACCATTTATTTTTCTCCTTCATGAATATCGCACGCAACACGGCAACAGTACAATGCATTTGCTACGCAGCACACTTGCTATGGCTTCCTAATGATAAATGGAGGGTCTCGATCGCATGAATAAGCGCTCTCTACTTTGCTTCTGCGCGTCTCATAACGTCTAAGCTTTCGTAAAATTTTAGATCCAGATTCTGTCTTTTCAAAAAGCTCTGTACCATCGAAGTGACAGACCATCGATCCGCCACTTGCTTGCACAGGAGCAAGATAAAAACAACACTCGATCACCATCAAGTCTTTGAGTCTTCCTGCACAAATTCTTGATGTAGCAGCTTATCCCTCATGGACACATCTTATACTGAGACAACGTACGAACCTCGGCTTAACATCGAACATGATCATCATTAGGAGCGAGTTCTGCGAGGGTGTAGTTGAGCCTACCTCACATTTAAGTACAACATTTGATTGTTCCAGGTTCGAATGCAGGTCTCTCCCAGAATCGCTCACTATAAAATCTTCTCCAACTCACTTTTTTGAAGAACTTCCTCCCCCGCTTCTCATCCCTGCCGTTTTTGGTCCATCGGAGCGGCAGCCCCTCATACAGGGGGAAGCTAAGAAGTGCGCAGCAAGCGCGGGCGCGACGCAGGATATAGTGATCCAGCAAGTGCCGATAACATCACATTGGTCGTTTCAGTGTGGGAGCAGCCGACACGTATCAAGCGGTTTCAGGAGATGAAGCTGCCTAGCGCTAAGTTTCTAGAACAGGCCAGGGCGACAGGGGCTCTTGCATCGAATTAGGTGGCATTACTTGTGCCTACATTCGTGTAGCTTGGGTACACGCTGATGGTCTGCGTTCGTCTTTTTTCGAAATGGCCCTATGAGTAGTCAAACCAAACACACGCTCAAGATGTAAGATATATACATACGAAATACATGCATGCCAGTGCCATCATAGGCCTCTAAGTGGATACAGAGCTAGCAGGATAAGATGCAGACTAATACCGATTGTTTATATACACATGTGCTCACCAGAATTGATGTAAATCCATGGTCTCCTGCAGAGTTATCAACTGAACTGTCCCAAACGTCTACGGTCACCAACATCCAATCATTGACCGTCTCTCCCAGCTTGTACATTTATCCAAATCCCTCATCTCCACCAAGTTCTACCACATCCCAGCCCTCTTCCTCTTCTATGATACGTTCACTCACTGTTCTACTGACAGCTTCTTGCGCCGCACGTCCCGGCCGTATTCGTGCTGCCCGAGCAGGACTAGCAGCAGTGGCTTGAAGGACCTGAGCAAAGTCAAGTGTGAACGAGGGTGGGGTTGGAGGTAAGAGGAGCGGGGTGGTAGAGTGCGACCGACTGTAATGGATGATCAACATAAGAACGCGCATTTCAATGAAATGGATAGGCAATGAAGCAGGAAAAGACTCACCGCCCAAGCTCTCCGCTGCAACATACAGCCCACAAATTACTCAAGGCATCACCTGCCTGTGACAAGGGAATCTCGACGCCTTGGCTATGAGCGAGATAACACACGTTGTAGAGGAGCATCGCAAGGCCGGTGGTGAACGACTGGTTTTGGCTATGTGCTGGCGTCTGTTCTGGAGCTTCTGAGTCAGCTAGTGAGACGGATGGCGCTTGGGACGGCGAGGAGGGAGAAGAGGGAGAAGAGGAAGGATTCGAGGTGAGGTGCAGAGGGTGTTTGGTTGTCCATCTATCCGTGGGAGGAGATAATGATGAGTAAAGAAACTCAGACCGTAAGTACAGTAAGTTACGCACTTTGCCCAGGACTCAGTCCCTCGTACTGCTCCGATCCAAGGCATACCAACACCGAATCTTCTGCAAGACCACGAAACTTCGAAAGGGAGTTTGATGCCTAGGTAGAAAGTAAGAAGCCCCAGAAAGTGAATGGTATGTGTGATTACAGCGTTAATGTGATCCGGTGGGTATCCTATGATACGCCCTGTGTGAACTGACTCTTGGCGTAGTGAGTAATTGTAACGTACGTCTAACATCTCCCGGTACTGGAAGAACCAGTCCGCCAACAGTCCATTCTCCCCTTGCGCCTGGCCGGCCACCCACTGCAGGTCGTCCCCCCACTTCGACGACGTGAAACACCTCTACTAGTTCCTGTACAAGGCCTGAGCGTGCCCTGGCAATAGTTTGACTCAGCACAGAGAGCTCCTGAGATTCCTTGGTAAGCGTTTGTGACTGGGGCGGAAGGAGGCGTGCAGCGTGAAGTGTCCGTTTGCGCTGAGCAAGGGTCTCTCTGAGGGTACGAAGGCGGTCGCGTTCTATATCCCTTAGAACAACACATGAGCAAGGGTAAGACACGTACTATTATCACAGTCTCTTCTCACTTTGGCAAGGTTATCTGCTAATTGGTCGAGCCTGTAGTCTGCTCGTGCAATCTCTGCACGAAGGAGGCGACCAGCTTCAATAGACTTAAATGCCCGGGATGCACGAGCAACATGCTCATTTCTGTCTGAGGAAAAATGGTGAGTTTGAAGGCGAAAATCGCGTAGACTTTATGTCAATCAAGGTCAGCACGTCGGGTTGCATTTCATAACAGGTGTTTTACGCACTGGTTTCTCAAACAATTTGCGCAATAGTACTGACGTTGTCTCAGCTCGCAGTTCTTACACTCCATCGCATCTTCAGAAGGCTTCAAGAAGGATAAGTTTGGGGCGAATAATGCAAAAGTACGACGGCGAACAAAGTACAGCTGGATGACGTAAGATTCACTGTTGCTAGGTATTATGCAATCATGATTACCAATACATACACTAAAGGATGTGGATGTGAATGACAGGCGCCGAGATGAGCGCGGTGGGCACCCTCTAGAACGACGAAGTAGATCGCTCCTCATGTTTCTTTCACATTCCGTCGAAACAGGGCGTTTTGGGTAAAGTGGTGCATGCATTCTCAGGATGGTACTGATATTTTATTAGTGAAGAATGCCTCATTGCAACCACTTTCGGAAATTTGCGACATGAGTATTGGTACTATTGGAAGAGAAGAAACGGGAGTCCGAAGAGACATGTTGGCAAAGTTGGATAGTGCGTTTACATTAGGGATAACATCCTTTGCCGCACTGAATTCGACTCGAATTAGACGAACTTTTCAATCGATATGAGCCGAGGTACTCTCTGGCAGCTTTGTCCCATACCCATTGCATATCGTATTGTGGAAGTGAGTCTTAACTCAATCAAGCCCAGGTTCCTGATTTAACCCTGATACACGACATCCAGGACAACGTGAAGTTTTCTGCGAAGTTTCGCGTGGTTCGGGGAGTTGGAGGATGCGCGAGCATAGAACTACGAGCTTTCGTCAACTCTCGTCCAATGGTAATATATGCCCGAGAAAGACATCAATGTGTGTTGATGCGTGTTGCCTCGTTGCAGAAAGACTTGGCATACTATTAGACATATTCGGTGTCCAACAGCCTGTCGCAGGTGATCCAGGTGACAGATACTTCTTCCCCTGGGATGGGTCGGAACACTCCGAATTCAGTGGTTTTCTCTCAGTCGACATTACCCCGCACGCTCCATGCTGCCATCTCTGTAACAAGATGAGATCCAAAACTCGATGTTTTGGTTGACAACGAGTGCTCCTCGTTCTGCGAACTGTTCACTGCATTTGCCTTGCGTCGCATGCCTTGTCACAGAAGTCAGACAGTTGCATGCTGAACATCGAAAAACACATTTCACGTATATTGTCTGGGCAGAGGGGCTTCATGATCTCTCAATGCAGGACAACTTCGCAAACCCACTGCATATTGGCTATGAGATCGATATGTCCTCGGGCTGCCTGGCCTTGCGTACCAAACTCGGAAGATTGTTTCTCTGTGCCGGAGTTTTCGTCAAATGAGTCATCAGACGTGCGGGTCCTCGCTGTCCTTATCGCTGGTGGAACAGCGCGGCGGGCCAGATCACAGTATTATGTGATGAGTCAAATATAGCTTGGCTCGCAGTATGATGAACGTCAACTCGGGATGTTGTGGTCATACGGTGAAAATTTAACCTCCCTTCACCTTGATATGCATCTGCTTGAAATCACAATCCACAGGTTGACTCGCTCCGACCCGGATCGACTAGACTACCAATGCCAACCCTCTCTGTGGCATTCGGCTACCACATTAATGACAATGCTTCATATACATTTATCATGAAGATCCAGACTCTAAAGCTCCGGGTGAGTAAAACGCCGCGAGGGTGACTCGTGTCACTTATCCTCTTTTGAGGTTCATGTGCGCATCATACTGCGCAACAGATACAAGGTATCACACGGTATGCATCTGGCGTACGTGTTATTATTCAGGCTCGCTTCAGCATCGCTGGGTACCTCAGCCCTCCACGTAAAGGTACAGCGAGCGTACCCACGAGGCTATCGAGGGAGTGGTAGCGAGCATTCTCACACCTCGGATCCGACTGTTCGGAGAATGCCTAACTTCATGCCAAAGGCACCAGCACGTGCGCCCCTTCATTGTAACTGCCAAGACCTGCAGTCTAGGTGCAGGTAACGCCACTGAAAATGATCGAGTACGTGGTATCTTAACGATTTACGAAATGTTGGGTTTGGTGATTGAATGGTGTACGAGATGCCTATCTGGTCGATCGATACGACACGGCCAATGCCATCCATCGTGGCTCGCATATGCGCGCGCAACCACCGCAAAGGATCTGGCCTACTCGAATTGGATTTGTGGATGCTAAGTGTCCAAGGTCCTCATTCGCCTGTGTTGAGTCATGTTGCATAGGATTGCCTATCATATACGTGTTTCATTTCGTTTGCACGTATATCAGTGCATCCCTAGCCTCATGATATCAATACATAACGACGCGTGTGTTCACGCAAGCACGGATCAAATCAGCCCCTAATATGTGTTTGCTGTGCGTTGTTGATACAACCAGCGCTAGTGCCAGTTCATACGATCCACGTCAGCCTGCCATGGTGGCGGCATAGAGTCGGCATGTCTTTCATATTCCTAATTTTTTTCACTTACCGACGCTCTCAAAACAATTTCTAAATTAGATTCAGGAATCGATAATCTACTCTCTATCTAGAAGTCGAGAGCAAGGTAAGCGAGACATTAATTTGCCTTGTTCACGAATGATTCTCCTGAACTCATCCTGCATCTCATCCCCTTAACCAGCGAAGATTCTGATAGCGGCAAGCCTTGTGCCTAGTTCCATGAGAATCTTACAAATTGAAGGCAGCATTGGTGGGATACTTTTGTTTCATAGATCAAGGATGTACGGCATTCCGCAACAATACTGTCAAAGTGCTGCGAAACGGGGCAAGTTTTTTTAATGTGTTGTGACCATCTGTGAGTATCTCCTGGTGTTGTAACCTTGCATGCCAGAATAGTTTTTCCAAATTTCTCCATCACATGATCACAGCGCATCGCCTGCTTAACACAGTTTAGGCGGTGTATTTACTCCGCTCCGTCAGTGTTATGAACATCATCCGTACGCAGTAATGCGTCCCTGACCCTCGACAAGTTCAGCCGCCGGCGGGTCAGGTCTTTTACCTTGCACTTCCAAAAGCTAACCTACAGCGCCGCATCCAACCCCACCGGTACCCGAACTAGCATCTCCTACCAGTTCTACTAAATTTTAATGGCCAAAATCACTCAGCGCTCCTCCGCCTCAGCCAAACCCCCACAATAATCACACTACATCAAATCGCTAAAATCCCGCTGGTAACGCATCATCGATCTAGCGAGGGTTAAAGATAGGCGTATAAGATTGGTCGGAGCGGATGCGTCGAGCTACGTTACTCTAGGTCCTCGTCGGGCAAAAATCCCTCTGGTTCACTTTCTGTGAGAACAATGATCCGAAAACCAGACCCCGGGGTCCTACATATCCCTCGCAATTACCTGGCACACGACCAACGCAGCTAGAGTTGCCATCTCGTAAGCTTCTAGACAGGACCCATCATGCTCAAGAGTCGATGTTGACAGGGGCTTCGATCCCTTCCATCATGTACATGTATGCACACGTCTAAATTTTTACCTGGCATGCGACCGACACAACTAGATTTGCTATCTTGTTGCGCTTCTGTATCGGACGTTGTATTCCCTCACGTCCATGATAACTTTGGCCATTCACTTTACACATTTTCGTCTGCGACCTTCCCAGCCTGCCCTTGACTAAATTGGCCAAATAAATTTCCGACCACGTTGTGCCACCTCTTTGGTCGAGCTGCAACGCCCTCTCCTCTTGACAGCCAAACTGCAGGGTCTTGACGCCTTGCAATTACCACATACCTGGCGCACGACCAACACCTATCTTTAGCATGCGCCCAAAGTCCTCGAGAGCCGAGGACGACGACTCTTCCGTTAATACGCACGTCAAGTTACTCGTATTAACTCCTTAACTCCGCTCGACTCGACTTACAGCAGTGGCTGACACCAGCTTATGTATGGAGTAACGTCACCGCGGAGACTTTGGGCGATTACCTGGCACGCAATCAACGCCACCGATTTGTGCACCTCCCGACTAAACACTGGCAGTTGACGATGATGACGACTTTCATCCCATACCCATTCAGGAACTACTTCTAATCTCCTCTTAACTCGGCTGCCGGACTTCAAGTTGCACTAGACGAACTAACGAACGAACGAACAACGGACAAACGTCACGTCCTTGTCACCAATGTTCGTCGAAATATCCATCAGACTTGTCACCACGTCGGACATGAAATGGTTTTTTTAAAAGATGAAATAAAAAAAACATCTCGGACTACCGCGGCTCCTCGCTTTTGGCTCCCTGACCCTATTAAGCGAAGGTATCTGATGGATTGTCTGTCTGTCTGTATGTTGTAGTGAAGTTTTTTAAGTTGAATTCAGACTTTTCTTCTCCCCTGGCAGTGCGCAGCAGACTCGGACTCATTTTCGCGTCGTAAGTATGAGGTTACCTCGAGTGTTGTTACTACATCTGCTTGTAACAAACCTTCAAGTTCAAGTCAGGCATTTCTTCTACTTACCCTAGTAGCGTGCTTCTTCTCGCATCTGATATCAGATTATTTCGAGCGTTGCTATTATATATAATTCATATGAGCGTCTGCAAGTTCTTTTCGCGTCTCATGGTTAATATAGATCAAGTGTACAAGTCAAGTTCAACGTATTATGCAGATAATATTAGACCGGGCCCATGGCGAGGCCATCATATGGGCGCTCTTCTTTTCGCGTCACGTCCGAGATATCAGATCATCATGATTATAAGGTAACAGCCTTACGACATCCAGCGTGCATAATTGGAGGGTCATTTTTTGAGCTTAGTAGCTCCCCCATAGCACAAAGTCAGATGCGGCTACGTGTATATCATGTCACCAATATGCAATCTAATAGTCGTGAAGAAATCCATGCTGATAGCCACAAGTAGATCAAAGATCCTGCCCAAGGATCTACATCAAAAAAACCAAAACCCCATCAAAAAAAGAAACAACGAAAAGAAGAAAGAAAGAAACAAGGTAAAGATGGAACTACACTGCTGAAGGGTATGATGAATGCATTGCGACGCATAAGTCCATGATGGAATGAAATAAAAAGTCAAGTTGGGATGATATAAAGAAAAGAAAAGCACGGCACAAGGTGAGATGAGGCGGGAGGGAGAGCAAGCGATCGTGGCTCCTCTCAGCACTGTAGTACGGAGACGAGGCGAAAAAAAATGATGCGAGTGCACTGTGTAAGACGAGCGCGATAAGCTTTGGGATCTATGCGATGTTAAATAGGACGCACCGATACCCTCGTTACGCAGGTGACAAGATCGTTGTTGAATACAAGTTATATGCAGAGGGATACATGATGTATGAGTGGCGATTGGGGATGAAAGGAGATACCGAAGTCGACCGGGGGAGATGGAAGGGCTGACGGTATCATTGCTAATCCGGGCTTGAGATTCAAAGCCGAAGCTGAAACCTTGCCTCAATTGACAAAGACAATTCCCGTTTGATTTGATGGACATAATGATAATGCCCGGGGTTGTCCACGAAACATCGGCAAGCAAGAAGTCAAAGTGCCAGTGGTATGGTGCAATGCAGGGACAAATGAACTGATAAGACGGGTTCTAGTTCTGTCTAACGTCAAACAGGAGCCCTGCACGACGGATATGAATGGTGACGATGCAAGGCGCTTTGGCAAGAATGGATTTGTCATTCGAGTATTAAATGGACGCTAGATGCAACGATTGAAATGGCACTATTACAAGGATGGACTATTTTCAGTACAGGTTGCGGATAGATATGGAGAGGAAGTACCATGAACCACCATTAATCATTCTCTAGACCACGAGGATTCGAATGCCCGCGTTTCATGACGAGATATCATCCCACGTCGAAGAAACGGCGCCGGTGTAGTGAGGACAGCGGTATGCCCCCTGACGGTATGCACGATCCGGGAGGGATGTGTGATGAAGTAATATGAACAATATAAGCAGGGATAAGATAACAGTAATTCAGCGGGCTGTGATGGGTAAGATGCAGGGAATAAGGAGATATGGACAGCGATTGAGCGATGATGTGATGGCGAGAAGAGAGCGAATGGACGATTTGCACAAGAAGAACGAGAAAACAAAGGGAGAAGTCAGGGCGGGGTACGAGTCCTCTAAAGACGGCGCATGAATTGTTTGTCTGCTTATCTTTTAGACTCCAGCGCTCAAGGATGTATTCGATGATCCTAATAGAAAGGTGAGATAGGTAGGACAATAGAGAGATAAGAGACATACCTCTAGCTCGCTCTCGTCTAAGTCGGAAGTCCGGGGATGATTGTTGCTACTCTGTCTGGCTGTGCTATTGATGGCAGGATCGAATTTGCGGTGAGGACTCGATCCGACAGCCTGCAAGTAATCTTGGGGTGGAAGAGTATCTGTGGTGCTAAGAGGAGTTGTAGGAGCTGAAGAAGCAGCAAGAGTGGATAGACGAGTGCTTGTACTGTCCATGGTGGAAGATCGGTCGGTGCTTGTTCGCCTTGAATCTGTGTCAAGGGTGGATGCGAGCTCTGTGGCGTGTCTTTCTTTGGCAAGGCGCTCCCTTTCTTGTCTCCTTTTCTTTACCCAACCCATGCCACTGCCGTCATCCTCATCATCTGGGGCTGGTACACCGACACCATCGTTCCTTTCGACTGGTGTTTTGGCTTGAGGATGGGAAAGTAAAGCGGGTGTGCCTTTTGCAAGAACGGAATATTTGGAGTCGCTACAACCAGTTACGCTTCCCATGCCGCCATAACCCCACTCTACGAATTCTGGCTCGTCGCGTACGTTTGCAAAGGGGTTTGTTGGAAGATGACGTTTTGAACCGTATACGCGACCGTTGAGCATGCGCCTGGTTGATTTTGTGGGTAGAGATGGGGGAGTGAAATGACTTGGGGGCATTGTATGACGACCGCCGCCTGAACCGAGTGAGTTTACTGAAGAACGTGGTTTGGAGTCTGACGATGGACGTTTTGTCTGACGAGTTGGGGTTGAAGTGGTTCGTGTTAGAGGGCAACCGAACTCGTGAGGTTGTGGAGAGCGGGAGCGACGAAGGAAACACGAAGATGCGTCTTCTGTTGGTGTGGAACGTTTGAATATGTTACGGAAGAAGGAAGTTGAAGGTTTTGGTTTTGGTTTTGATTCAAGGCTAGTGATAGGTGGTGCTGGCGTTGTACTTGGGACTTGGTCCGGTAGAGGTGCGAATCGGATACGACGTTGCATTTGTAGATGCAAGTCTGAGGAAGAGCAGCTAGCGAGTGAAGAGGTGGAATAAGTTGTTGGAGAGAGTCTTGGAGACTGCGTTGGTGAATTCAACAAAATGCTGTTAGTACGAATCATTGTTGGGTGAAAAAATACAACTCATGCTCGACTCTTAAATGAATCATTTTATGCATGAAAAGGAGTCTCCGGGGGTCGAGATCCGATCGAGATTCGATTTGGATCTGATTACGAAATTCAAAACTTGCTTCCGCCTCTTTCTTATCTCTTAAAATAATATTCCTCACGCTGGCAACGTTTGTCATCAACTAGAACATTGTTCACCTGCTATCCTCGGACAACTGGACAGTCAAACAAAGTACTTTCACCCTTCCAGAATTCTCGATTTCAAGCGACGTCACATCCCCGCTCAAGTTCTCCTTTTTCGTGAGGAACACGTCTGATGGAAAATGTACCCTTGTCGTCGCTAGTTTACGCAATAGGGGGGATGTATCATACCTACCCGCTCTTTGTCCTCGTCGACTTCAGTCCCCCCCTCCTTCATTTCGGACGGGACAGCCCAGTGAGGAATAATCAACATTGGTCTTGACTTTATCTTCCGCATTGACACCACCCCAGCAGTAATCCACATCCACCGTCGCCATCTTTCCCGCTGTCATATCAGTCTTTCCTTTTTTTCACCGATACGCCTACGTGCTAAGCACCACGCCCTGACATCGCTGGCAATATTACCAAACTACTGCCACGCCAAGTTAGGCCAAGCACATCTCTGTAATACAAAACACCCATCCTTCATCTTGGCTTACTCTTGCTGATACCGTGACCAACACAGCTTCCACTATCACTTAGTACATCTTGGGGCATCAGCACTCAACCGATAAGTCGTCAAGGGTTCCTTACTCTACTCTACGAGGTTTCAATCTGCCCGTGAAAGCCGATCACTCGTCCGTTTGCTGTCTTCGCAGTTAGCAACGAGGCACGCCTTCACCCATGTATTGTTTTTCCTTCTTTTATCCTGTCCAAGAGATTTATCTCGCATACCACTGGCAGCGTTTAAGCATCCGCGCACCAGGCCAGGGGCTTTCTTCTCCTGCAAGGGATGTCTTTCGCGTATTCTCGACAGGGTGTCTCTGGACCGGGGGTTTTATTCTTCGCGTAGCAGGAAATCTCCGATAACCTTCTCTGTTCCTTGGCTAGGCGCAACTGGATCGAGCTCACACATCGCCAAAGGCATGCTGTTTCCGTGTTCAGCGGCTTTATCCTCCCAAAATATGAATAAATCATCGACAGCTGCGATCGAGCGTTCGTCTGCGCCGCCCCGACCGCCCTTCTCTATTTCCGCCCGCGAGGTCCCGCATGTACATCATGCAGTGCGGGTGTGGAGTTTTTTTTATAGACTTTTTCGTCCGCTCTGTGACCATGACCACCACTCGATGGTTTTGATGGTGGCGGGATCCGGTGCAACAGAGAGAGAGTTGTCGAGTTCTGTGCCACCAACACTAGCTCTGAGGTATTGTATACTCCACAGACCACGACGTTGACTTAAAACATGTCGATCGATAGATAACTGAATAGGAGGTCGAGGGTCATCAGGTAATCATCATCGTCCCGTCCCGTCTTCTGTATATCTATTTGTCTTTGCATTGATATCCACGTTGCTCCGCGGCGATCATCCCTATGCGGGAGTTACCCAGGCACCCCGACTGCCCTTCGCACCACATCGACATCCGGAGTGTGGAGCAGAGCCAGGTGATTTATTTTCGTCCATTACTTGACGAAGGTTGAGTGTAAAAATTGTTTAAAAGTTGTCGACACTTATGTCGTATCTTCCCGGTCTCCTATAGGCAGACCAATACGTGGAAGGTAGACAGGGTTTTTCCCACCCAACTGCCTTGCTTCCTTCAATTCAATATTGGGATGAGGCGAATTTTTGGCTCAGTCATCACCATTTCGTGCCCGGTTAAAAATCACTCATGCTTTCACATCCACATCTATGGTCCGGAACTCGAACCTGCATCGGCTAGACATGAGCTCGAGTCGCTGCTGTATTGCTTTAATCCTTATCTCGACGAGCGAACACTGTTCAACCTACCTCTATCCCCTACCCTCGCCTCTTCTTTCCTCGCGCGATTCCTTCCGCAGAGCATAGATATAGTTGTGGAAAGCGCACGTTTTTTCTCATGTTCCAATTTGTCCTCTGCTGCCCATACCTGATATATTTCCAATAGTGCCAATACGCATCGGGATTTTCTTCTTGGCTTTCTCAAACTGATTGGGAGTACCTTGCTGTCGGTGCTTGACTCCATGTTAAGAAGTTCGACTTCCAACACGTGGTACTGTTTGCTGAATGCTTCCAGTCCGCTTAGCGCTCAGTCTTCGACGGATCAGCAATCTGAGGATGTGCTGGATTCTTTGAAATGCAGGCACGAACTAGACAGGTCACCGTCAGCTCAGCTTATTTTGAGAAACAACAGATAGGCTGAGTTTCATCGCTGGTCACCCCGCGTCGCTGCCTCGACCTTGCACCGGACAAGCAGTTCCCAGGCACCCGACCAACTAGTCTTTTCCTCGCGCAAGTGTATTTTTGGCTCAGTCACTGGATCGGCTCTTAACCATCCGATCCTGTTGGTGCCCGTTCGAAGTTCTAGCTCTTTCTCGTGCATTCGGATTTATGCGCTGGATGTTCCGTGGACTTTTGACGCTACAAATTGGACGGATCTTCTAGGAGTTCCGAATTCATCTAACTTTAAGTGTGGGGGCCCCCTTTTCTCCTCTTCAATGCTCGGCGCATAACGGTCAACATCTTCACTTGCCAATTCGATATGCTGCGTATTTACACCTTCGGCTCCATACCGGCAAAGCGATATCGAATTGATCGGTGTGCGGCTCTGTACGTAGCATCCGTACGCCCTTATCTTGTTGAATTGATTAGACGACCCTTGTTCAAGAAAACGAGTGTCCTTCCCCCTGTGCAGGGCCTTCAATAGCTCCAATTGTCCAGTCCCATCTAAATCATGTAAGAGCCATCGTAATCATGATTCCGCCTCGTATGACTTAAAAAAAAGGCGTTATCGCTTAGGAAACCTCTGAGTCATGTAATCTGTCGTTATGCTCTCAGCATAAGTAAGTAACATCTTTCTTCCTTACATATCGGGTGATATTTGTTCCCTCAGCGGATGTCGCCGGTGCCCACGTATGTTCTACGTCGGTGAACAGATTTGTCGGGGACTGTAAAAGGTTGTATCGCTAATCCGAGGAGCAGTCCATCCCGACTGTTGATATCTCAGGCTACCACGTCTTATATGATGGCTTTTCCCCTTCTGCGTTTCTCACTGGCCGAATCCGCAGTTTTTTGAGTTCAGTCTCCATAAACGTGCATTCCTTACTAAGACACACGTGGGCCTTTACGAAATGATGACGACGAAACGATGCTACGTGCGTAGTTCTGAGGAGGCATCTCAGGAAAATGCGTACATAGCGACGTACTTGCCCGTCATCAAGAAATCATCGCCCACTTGTGCGTATGCTAGGGAATAACTAGCTCCTGCTTGCAGTCATTAGAGTTATGTTGACTTACAACAGGACGGGCCTGGGGAACAAAGCTAAAAGAAGCGATCATCCCTGACAAGAGGACTTGGGTTTCCAAATTTCATGTATTGATCAGTGTTATGTAAAAAGCTTCGCACCTATCAGTACTTCAGTGCCGATCTTAGGGGGTTGCACTGGTATGGTACGGCTCACTTGTGTGAAGTTGGACCCTCTGTCTCACATCGACGTTTCAACGACAGAGAGCACACTCGGTACTTGCCACTCATATAGCAGAAGACGACAAAACTAGGTTCACGGATGTGATGTCGCCTACAAAAAGCGGTGCTTCATTGTTCCTCAGGAGTCCTTGCCCCTTATGTATATCGTATACGAACTATTGTACTCGGGCCTAAGTTCCGACCTCTGCCTCAAGGCATGACCCTAAGTCATATGTACACTTCTACCAGACGTGCCAAGTGCCAAGAACTACTTGGAACTACACATGACAAATAGGACTGAATAGATCCTTCAGCGAAGGGGGATTGCGAGTGATCGGGGACTCGGGGATTAAGGCTTTTAGTGACATCAATATGCGGCGTTCAAGCTTGCAAGCCTGAGCTCAGGAGTGTAGGCACATACCAGTGTGAGATGGCAACGTACAATCGTGCAGGCCTCGAGATTGATATTGTGACGGTGACCGGGGGAATAATCATATCAATCCACAACATCTAGTATTTGAAACCGGTTTAGTTCAATGTTTGATGGGCGGACTGCATAAAATAGTAATTCACCCCACCGCAGAGAGGGTCACTGATCGCGTTGACTTCCACGCCTTGCAAGCGCGCCACGCAGCCAGGGAACCCCGACTACATAGCACACATTAGGAAATCGATCAGATGTGGCGGGGCCGGGTGATACTTAGCCTAGTAACATAGTATATTCGGAATCGGGGAGGACTTCATAGCGCAGTCTCGCAGCCATAGGTGCCCACACACCCCCACGTTCTTGAATAAGCCGCAAGAAGCATGATTGCTATCAAACATGTTACTGAGATCGCACGATATTGAGAATCCTTGGCAAATTCGAAAGAGAAGTTTCTTCACGGTGGATCGTCCAAAAACGGACGATGCCACGACCCGTGAGCACGGTTGTACACATGCGTGGTAGCGGGACTTCTGCCAGTGGATTCAAAATGCTTACATGTAATGTGTGAATGACTGTCCTTGGGATTCGAAGAAACTGTGGTGACAGTAAAACACCTCCCATAAGTCAGACATGCCAAGTGTGTAGAGGGGCTTACAAATGCCAAGACTTCATATGGCCGGAGCTAACTGAGCTAGGATCTGAGCGTAATCCGACATGCCCGGGCCCGTGACCATGTTTCAAAGATATGGAGTCATGAATTTGTACCTGAAAGTGACGCGGCTGATCTGGCAGCACTGTGTCCCGGCTGTTTGCCGTTATCCAGTCACCAGGTCAGCTGACTCGGATCAGTTTGATGCGGGCTTGAGCATGGATCAGTACTCGAAAGTGACGCGGCTCATCTAGCAGTGTCCCGGCTGTTTGCCGCTATCCAGTCATCAGGTCAGCTGACCCGGATTAATTCGATGCGGGGTATTGTAGGGCCGATCGCGCGCATAATGGCGGGGAAAACGGATGTCTCACATCGGTTGGCAGGTGTGGGGTAGGTGCCTTTCCTTCTCGACGTGTTGACGTGGATCCGATATATCATACGATGCGTTGCTGCTACGTTCGTTTAGCGGTGACCGGGACACACATGTGACGTCTGCGCGTGAAGAAGGGATAATAGTTGTCACGTCTGATAATCACAGCACAGGTTGTTACAACCGGAAGGAATAGCGGTCTAACTGCTTGTCAAGCAATTCGTAAACAGTGTGCTGCACTTGAAGAAATAGCAGTACCACCTGTACTAATATAGCTGGTCATGGAGTAAACACCCGGCCCGTAACACTCTACCTAGCACACGTTGAAATCGCTTTTTAGTTCTTGGAGCTCTTCCCTAAGAAGGCTATGCTTTGTTATACAAATTACCTTCTTACAATAAAATACTCATCCTTCCACTACAAATTATGACATAGAATGGTGTCACGGTTCGCACGCCGTAGTGATTAGGCATTCTCTAAGGCGGAGTTTACCTCCAACAATCGCCTGAGATCTTCAGTCTTCGACACCGCGGCAGTTGATTCCACCAGCGATCCTACTGTTGAGCTACCAGCACCACCGTCAGATTGCTGTGCTTTGGCAAGCACCTGTTTGCTGGCCCAGTCGAGATAACCCATCTTGCTGACTTCCCATGGCCGTTTGCCAGGGTCTGCCAACGGCGATTGCGAAAAGGCAGCGACAGCTTCAGGTGTAAGAGGCGGAAGGGACGATACTACTGAGAACATCGAGCGGTACTGCTCTGGAAGGCTCATGAGATCAGAAACTTGGGGAGCCCGAAGGAAAGAGAGCTGTTCTAGGCGAGATTCAGACCGACGGCGTTTTGCTGAAGACAAGCGGACTGCACGAGTCAACAAACGCTTCAAGCGACGTTGCTGCACACCATTAGAACAGGGGGGTTTAACGACAAGCTTGGAAACGTACAGCGTCTAGCTTTCTTCGCAATTCATCTATCTCTGTCATGAGCTCTGTTTCGCGTTCTGGGGGGCAATCGAGATCGAGGTTCTCTTGGTGAGGCACGACGACGGGAAGATCGGCAGGAATAGCAAATATGTTACGAAGCGACCATGTCTCAAAAAAGTCAAAGGCAATGTCCGTGTGGGATTCCAAAAGCGTTTGGAAAGCGACAAGGCCCTGTTCCACTTCTTGCGTGCTATCCCAATCCTCTTGAACTCTTTGTTCTCGCTCAGACGCCCAGCGAAACAGGAAGCCCTCTAAGGCATCAACGGTGTTTGTTATCGCTTCGTTTGCATAGTTGATAATGTCGTCGAGTAGGAGCTGGGGGGAAAACTCGAGAATTTCGGGAAGTAGGGCTGAAGGTACGGTAGGCTGTTGTGCGTTCATCATGGTCACGTCAAGAAAATAACGACCACGTGATCGTTCATTACCGTAAGCGATGCCGACTCCCGAGTTACTGACTCAGCAAATGCGTGTTTATCCGGCACAACTTAATTTATAACATGCCCGAGCGCTGAGCACTACGCACTGCTTTAAACTTAAGGCTCAACTGCAACGTTGACATTGACCAGTGTCAAACATCGCTCACTAATCAGTGTCCTTCACCATGTCTGCCGTCTCGCACGGCACTCGTCACCTTAGGCAAGGTATCGGCGCGACCAAACACCACGCCCCTGGGGCTGGTCCTGCTTGATCACTTCACAGTTCTGCGTTCATACCACCACTGCGAACGCCTCAGCTGTCTAATGCTCAACGAATTTTTACACACTCTCGTAACCTTGTCTCCAGATTCTTTGCTCATTTAACCACTCCAGGACTTGCGCATTCTGTCTCAGTCGCTCCCAGTCACTCGCTTGTCCGTCCTGCTCATTTCCATTCCACTGCTCAGAGCGTTAAAGCATCATACTCACTCCCCGTGAGAAATGCGCTCTACCACCCCTTATCTTTACCACGCCTTCCTCGTCCGACTCCCATCCCCGGAAACGTAGCTAATGTTGGTCTTGGCACCGTTCGTTCATTCCATTCTGCGCGCCCTATATTCCAGAATATCGTGGATAACGTTCCTATTGCCACCCGTGCACTTTGGGAGGCTGAATGGGAACTCAAGGCGAAGAAGAAGGAGGAGCGCAGATTGTGCAAAGCTAAGGAAAATGTGGCACCCAAAAAGACTAAAGAGATGCTCAAGCCAAAGCAGAGGTCAATTGTTGCTGAAGTCCCTACCGAATTCGATATCTCTGAACTTGACCATTATATGCCACAACCTGCTTTGCCGGAAGTCACGACTTGTCTTCTCGTTCCTATCGCTCCTACTCCCACTGCTCGTCTGCCCCTATCTGCACATTCCACCGCGGGAATTAGTCCGCTCCATCCGCTTCTGCCTGTACCTGAAATCGCTGCTGCGCATAGGATGCATCGTAACCATTCGCTTCGTGTGTCCACTCTTTTTTCCCGATTGGATGGTGCAAATGTGTGGGATGATCCTGGCGTCGGCGTTGATGCCTACGCCTTTGCTCCCGGTTTAGGAGATAATCAAAGCGATAAGCAGTGCACGATACTCCGGGTTACATTTGCAGGTTGGACAGCTGCCCAAGTACGTAGTGTCACTGGAGAGAGCGGACAAGGATGGTGTGCTCTCGAAGAAGTTCACTCAGACGCCATGTCTGCTTCTTCGCAGATGAGTGCTATCGATGACCAAGAGATTCCATCAAGTCCCAAGTCTGTTGCTTCCAGTGTCGAGTTCGGTTCAGCATCCTTGTCGGAACTGGACTACGGCAATGATGCTGATATCGGTTCAGACATTGAACTTGATTCGGATGATTGGGACTACGGGATCGGGTTATCGCCATTTCCCGACGTACAAGACAACTTCGTTCTGCCAACGCTAGACTTTTCATCATCATTTACGCGGGTTGTGCCTTCTACGCAATCATGGGCTCTACCGCCGCAGCTTCGCACAGCGTCGGAGCTTGCCGAAGAGTTTGGCGATGTATGGTCCCCCACTTTATCGTCATCGCTCTCGCTGTCACCCTCGTATGACTGTCTGTCTGATCGGGAGGCAGATGTAATCCCACGTGTCGCAGAAGGTCAAATGGAGAGATCGTGGCTGGGGGTTAGCATGGGGCTGAGCTCCTCGTTCACTGAGAGACTTGAGGCGCTGCGATAGTTGGAGATTTATCGGTGATACACGAATCCGCATTGCGTATGCTACACTTTCTTTTCTTACTTTCATGCTTTCTTCGTGAGTCTAACTTGCTTGAATCTTTTGTACTATTTGAAACTTGTTCATCTATTCAATGACTGAGCGTTATACAAGGATTTTTACAACAATCAAAGTTCAGCGATCTTTCCAATTGTTCACCCTCATATGATAGCAACCATCGGCAAGAAACGAATTTGAACCTCCCAGCAGAATGTCAAATTGTTATCTAGGTTTCCACTTTTGGGGAGGTGGCTAGTTGGATATGCCATCGATCGTGGAACTGCTCTGGCAGTTGCCGGCCTTGATCCAAAGGGTTGCAGGTTTGAATCTGTAATGAACCACCAGGAGGTTTTAGCGGGTACGTATTGCGTGGCAGCTAAGTCCCACAGTGCAAATGCATTCCCCTTTGTTGAAATTCCTGTATCACTGGGGTGTGATTCCCAACACACCTACCTAACAGGTCGACCGTCGCCTTCTCATATAACCCCTATCTACAGTAGTACTTCTGGTGGCAAGTACACGATTCTAGGCTTGAAGGCATGACTTACAAGTATGTACATTACGCCACTCATCGTTTGTTCATTACCGCTCAATGCTATCTCGTTCACCAATTTGCGGTCTACCAGTGAAATGTCCACCATTGAGCGCATAGCGCAGAACTTTAAATATAACCACCTGTGGCGCAAAATTTGTAATATGGAGAAGACTGTCTACAGGCAATGGAACGAGGACTAGTTTAGGCCCCGAGAAACCCCCTGACACTGTATACTGGAGCCAAGTTCTCGCTTTGATACATGTGCTCTAAAGCGATCTAACTACCTCGCACGAAGCTCATTGGATGAAAAGGGAGGCTTCGAACGACACGACGTCGTAACTTGAACTTTACTTGAAACCAACTAAATGCATGCTTACCTGACCGCGGCGCTATAAATTATTTATATAGCAGGATGTGGGCCTGCTATTTTTGCGCTCTAACATGTATCCAAAGTCGCGGTTAGTGGGGCGCGAGGTGAAGGAAGCTCCGCAGAATAGGATGTTCTATTGAATCCGTGCAACGGTAATATTTTGCCAACTCCCCTCGTGGTTGGCGTCACACCGGCAGTTGCCTCATATTGCGAAGCCCGGTCAAACTTACCAGAACGTTCTCATGCCATACTATGCGAGACTAAGCGTCGTGATGTTCATCATTCTCCCCAGATCAAATGCACCAACGGCGTCATCAATTTCGGTGAAGCCATTTTTGTCGCTCGGGGTTGTTGGCACCCGGACCTTGGTTTATCGGATGCTTCTAATCATGCTGTCATTCACGTCCAGCGAGGGCCAGGCATGGACAATCCCGCAATGATGTCAAAAATGAGTCTTCGTATTGTGTGATGACTTCTGAACAACCCTTACATTGCTAAAAGAACAACAAGTGACCATTATAAAACAGGAAGAGACACTTTTCTCACCGAGACAGCGATTATGCACTCTTACAGCATGCCTAACGAACTGTAGAAAGTTCAACATTTTTCACTAAAATTGGTCGTTTGACCTCGTAATCTTGTGAGGTCGCGGCGATTGCCCGTCAGGGTATGGCCTGTCAGGGAGATACACGTGTGCTTGCGTAACTTTAGCTTCTGCCGGCGGGCATATAGACCAACCGAAGGCTCTAAGAATGCATTGGAGGTGTAGTGAGGTTTATGGATTCATTTACTGATCTTGAAGATCAATTGATAAATAGGGTTAGGACGGAAGGGCACGCACACGATCTAGCAAGGGTCTAGAACGTTCATTATCTGTAGGTTCAGGTCAAAGGTACTGCGCCGCAAGTTATCATGCATCTGCAGTTTAGGTGATCAGAACCATGCAGCATTAAGTATTTGCAAACCGATGTATCGATTTCACGTTCATTCGGAACAGTGAGAAGTCCAACTACATCGATCTGCAAATAGGTACAATACGTTACCAGAGCAAGACGGAAATGCAATAGGCTGATTGAAGTGGGAGGTAATGAAAAATGAAAGTTCCAGTACATATCTTGCGAGCTCACCGGAGTATGAGCGCTGTTAACAGCAGCATTACGTTAACATATTCCATCTACACAATTTGTGACGGTCTGTTCCAAAAATGCGAGTACATTGTAAGATATAGCCAGGCAAATACCCATGTGTCGCATTCAGACAATGTGAAGGGTTGGACTACAAGTAAGCTATGAGCAGCGACCAACACAACGGGGCAATAGTTTCCTACTGTGATTCCTGTTACGACAGGTCCATGTCTTCCTGTTCAGGCTCCTGCAGAATAATCTGCTCCGGTTGCTGAACATTCACATCGCTTTGGCCAGAGTCTGTCACTGATCCTTTCGCGGGATCGCTTATCACATTGGGGTCCCCCGAGCCTCCTACGCGAATGACGACGTTCATTGTTGACTTGACCCTTGTTTTGAATTCCTCGTCATTACCACCACTACCTTCATCCTCGCTTCCATCAAGCATCTGGTCAATCACGTCCACGCTACCCGTCTGCACTTCGACACTTAGCTCGCCCGGCACTATTTGAGGCAAAGAAACGGCCAAAAGCGCAAGATGCGGGATAGCAGCGCCCATCGCGCTCAGTCGAATCTCTTTAAACCCATCTTCGAGGATCAGAGCCTTGCATCGGCGCAGGTAAGCGGCCAACTTGGTACGTCGCGTGACGCAGATGTTATTTTTGCCTTCAGTATGCAAGGAACGTGGTGCTGTGGCAGGTGCGGACGGTGCAACTGTTGGGAATGGCCGTGGGGGCGCAAGTTTCCGGATTCTGGGACGGTCATTGGCAGTTGCTGATTGTGATGTGGCTGCAGGGTTCTTGGTCATCGACGACCCTGATGGTCCACTATTAGTTTCCTTGTCCTTTTTGCTCTTTTTCGAATTGGCCTTGGCAACGGCTCCGCTTTGTAGCTTGACTCTTTTCTGGCCATCGGTAGGAGGGATAGCTGACTTGCGCTTTCCGGCTGTGCTGTTCATGACGCGGTGGGACGACACCTTTGAGACGAATGGCAGTTCGCTTCCGAGCGGATCAGTAGCAGAAAAATATGACTAGATAGCACCGGTAAATCTCACAAAGACCCAATTGGTGAATGAATTGAGTCAGAGTACTGGAAGTGCAAGTACTCGGCGATGTCGTTGCATTGGAAGGTAGCCCTGTGGCAGCCTACCCTAAATCCGCCACCGCCCGGTGAAAAAGTTTGACCTTCATAAGGCGTGAAATTGAACGTACGGGACATCCAAGGTGTCCCATTCAAATTTTCGTCAACAGAAAATCGATATCAAAACGTTCAGAAGAAAGATCAGCCCATCATGAGTCAAGATGTCGCAGAGCAGAACATCCAGATGTGGAAGGTAAAGAAACTCATCAAGAGCTTGGACTCTGCACGCGGGTACGTTTTCATATTTTCATTGAACCAACAACGATGGACGCTGATCGTGTGTTGTACAGAGCGGGGACATCCATGATCAGCTTGATCATTCCTCCCAAAGTGCGTCGATCTTAGCCCCTTTTGCCATCTTGTTCATTTCAGTCCACCTACTGCAGGATCAAATATCTCGTGCCTCAGCCATGTTGACGCAGGAATACGGTACTGCGAGCAACATCAAGTCGCGGGTGAACAGATTGTCTGTTCTTGCAGCTATCACCAGTACCCAGCAGCGCCTTAAGTTATACAACCGAGTCCCACCAAACGGTCTCGTACTTTTCGTGGGCACCATCCTCACCGACGAAGGTAAGGAAAAGAAGGTGTCGTTTGACTTTGAACCTCACAAACCGATCAATACGTAAGTATCTCATCGGATGCATGACCTTGATCTTACGCATGAATAGGTCGCTTTATCTCTGTGATAACAAATTCCACACTGAAGCCCTATCCGAGCTTCTCGAGTCCGACTCTCGCTTTGGCTTCATCGTCATGGACGGTAATGGCACCCTCTTCGGCACCCTCTCAGGCAACACTCGTGATATCGTACATAAATTCACTGTCGATCTTCCTAAGAAGCATGGACGTGGTGGTCAGTCTGCGCTACGTTTCTCCCGTCTGCGTGACGAAAAGCGCCACAACTACGTTCGAAAAGTCGCTGAGCATGCTGTGCAGCACTTTATCACAAACGACAAAGTCAATGTGACTGGACTTGTTTTGGCAGGAAGCGCCGACTTCAAGACAGAACTCAGTCAGAGTGACATGTTTGATCCACGCTTGGTCGCGAAGGTGATTAAGGTTGTGGATGTGAGTTATGGTGGTGAGAATGGTTTCAATCAGGTTGGTTCAGCTGTTCTCGCATTTCTATACTATGACTAAGATGAGATGCAGGCTATCGAGCTTGCAGCAGATGCGCTGGCAAATGTAAAGTTCGTGCAGGAGAAAAGGCTCATCCAGAAATATTTCGACGAAATCAGCCAAGACACGAGCAAGTACTGCTTTGGTATTGATGACACGTTGAAGGCGCTTGATCTAGGCGCGGTCGAGACCCTGATCGTGTGGGAGAACTTGGACATCACACGCTATGTATTCCGCAATGCTGCAGGAGGTAAGACGCTTGTTATTATTGCAGATCCTAGGTGACTCATGAATATCGTCAGAGGAGATTATTATCCACTGCAAACAAAGAACAGGAGAAAGATCGGGAGAGATTTTTGGATAAATCCACTGGTCTAGAAATGGAACATGTTACCGATCCACAACCTCTCCTTGAATGGTTTGCCGAGAAATACAAGGAGTTTGGAGCAAACCTCGAGTTTGTAACCAATCGGTCGCAGGAGGGCGCGCAATTCGTAAAGGGATTCGGCGGAATAGGCGGCTTGCTTCGTTACAAAGTCGACATGACAAATCTAGCGGCCCTTGATGAAGATGAAGACGAGTTTTACAGCGATGATGATGATATCTGACGTTATGGTTGGCTCTTCGGAGCCCCGTCCACTGATAGCACGTCGGGCGGGGCGGGGGCAGGGGTAGGGAAGTTAGGGGAGAATGGCGGGACCGGTATTGCGCGAATTTCTGCATTCGGTCATCGGTTCAATTGTGACACGCCAGTACTTGGTCTAAAGGTTCGTTCCCCGCACATTTCATGGACTTTCCTGACAATATTTATCTCAGGTAAACGGTTCTTAGAGTGTATGAACTACTACATGCGAGTGGAGTCATCCTGTTGTTCGCCGATGAGTAGTTTCAACCTATGTAGTTGTATCCTATTGTTCGTTTGATCAATGCATTTATTGTGTGGTGCAGTGTCTCAGATCTCAGTACTCCCAGTGCTTTATACAACATGGTCTTCAACTGTATCAACCAAGTTTTAACGTTGCAAAATTGTTCATTGCCTAGCAGACTTGCCACTGTGGCACCTGGTCAAAGCGCATCCAAAGGGGCGTGACGAAGCGCGTGACGTCACACGTCCACCTTGCGCCCGCCTGTGGTATTTATTGGCGGTTGTCAACGATATAAACAGACGCGACGATTCGGGATCTACAATTTCAAGCGCACATTTCTTGGCTTCCAACACCCATTTCACAACATTTCCCATTCTATAACTATGGCTGGTGAGTTCAACTTCATCAATGTGCATCCAACAGCTCCTATATAATGTGCCTGCAGGAAGAAAACGAGCTGCAGAAGAATCCGCCACTGAGAAGCGCGAGACGCGCAGTGCCAAGGTACCTAAAACAGAGCCTCGAAAGAGCGCCAAGGGCACAGGGAGGAAGGGCGCAGCACGATTGAAGGTCTGTGTCCCCGCATGCCTCAGCCCCTAATTCTGAATGTATAGTATAACCAGACAGGGCTGAGTGCCTCTGCGTTCAAGTCTCGGGCGCAACCCCTACATGTCAGTATTTCACACACTAGGCCTCCCGCTGACGTTGAGTCGACGGATCCTGGGTTCTTGGAGGCTATGGAGCTTGTTTCGACGAGCTTTTCTTCTGGGAGCTTCGGGTGGAAGGCGGGCAAGCGCATGACCGTGCATTTGCCCAAGTTGGAGGGAGAGGAGGAGGGAGAGACAGTGCATGTGACGTTATCGTGAGTTCCCTCGGCGATTCTTGGAAATTCCCTGGGTAATCTCTCACTGGCAAGAATCAATGCTACTGTTATTGGCAGCAAAGGTGCGAAGGAGGAGGGCGAAGAGGGCGAAGAGGGTGAGAAATCAGCAGAAAATGTGGGAGAGAAAACTGAAGAGAAAACTGAAGAGAAGGTTGAAGAGAAAGCTGAAGAGAAAGAATCAGGGGGGGTGGACGAGCCTGCACAAGAGGAACCTGCTCCTGCTGAGGGAACAGAACAGGAGGCGGTTTCATAAGTTGTATTTTTATTCGTGCGTTGACGAAGTCCTAGTCCCGATTTTTTTGGTTGATCAAGAGGTTCATGCTATCTACGCTACTGTCATATATGACTGAATTGAAATTCGCGAGTGATGGGTGCTTTTTTTCTCTCATGTCAGTTCAAACTTGCATGTCGCATATCAGTATATCGCGTACGTCACTTGGCGTAATACGTTATTTTGGGAGCACCTCGTCTTAAGCGCCCATATGTAAACCGGGGCCCGTTTCAAGCTCGGAGTTCGTTCAACTCAGACGCCAGTTCTGAATGATTCTCAAGACTGATGATTCAAACTCGGAGAAAGCTCCAACAACTATGAAAGAGGTCCCAACATACTACACGCCTTACCATAGCCATCAAACGAAAACTCGTCGATTACAACTAACAGCTGTCAAACTAGTTATATGTCTCTGCCTCGCATCATGGATTTATCGTTTCGCCCTCCCCAGCCACCCTGTGACTCCACTTCTCCATACCAAGTATTTTGGAGCCTTGCTGGATGATCCCGCATCCGGATTTGCAGACGATGACTTCCCTCTGCGTGCACATGAACCCTGGGACATCTCTGTGGACTTCCCCTACCCTCGCACACTGTCCTACGAGGTGACAGAAGGTACATGGTTGCGACTTGACGTGCACCCCGTGAGTGGTGATATCGTATTTGACATGGCAGGGGATGTATATTGCCTACCGGGTGATGCGTATTTAGGAGCTGCTGGAAGAGTAGGAGGGAGAACAGAAGCCGTGCCAGTCCTCACAGGTGTTCCACACGATGCGGATCCACGGTTTTCACCTACAGGCGACAAGATTGCTTTCAAAAGCGACGCGGGGCTCGGCGCTGACAATCTGTGGGTAATGCCCTGGGCACCGGACGGGTGCACAGTCATGGACGTTCGCGCGCACGTCAGCTCATCGCATGCGCTCGAGCTGAAAATCCACGACGAGGAGCAACTCGCACGAGGTATAAAGGAGACGAGTGAGAGGAAACTGAGGAGATTGACAAGGGAAGGAAGGCTAAATGGTGAGCAAAATCAATTATTTCTCCGTCTAGGCGGGATGTTTATGAAAGTATAGCGCGACGCATCACAAATGAGACGTACAACTGGGTGTCTGACCCTCGCTGGCATCCTTCAGGGGATAAGGTTGTCGCAACGAAATGGTACTACTCTTCACGCTCGCTTGGAGCTGGTGAAGGATGGGAGTTTCCTGTTCCCACTGTCCATGTACAATCGCAGGTTGAGGAAGGCGCCGGAAAGCGTTTGGTGTCAAAGAACCTACCTATGGGGTGGACAAAGGATGACTACGTGGAGCAGCAGATCGGACACGAACAGTTTATATGGGCGGGCGATGATACGCTGATTTATGCTGGTAATGTGAGGGATGTTGGTGGTAGTTACACGTATTCCAAAGGTGCGTTAGCATTCGCTGTTTCCTAATGCACTATGTACTTGTTCCTCACATGCACGTAGATGTCCATCAGGGTATATACGCGATCTTTCACCGCAACTTGACGACGGGCGTGGAAAAGACACTTGTTGATGCCTTCCCTGGTGGTGCAAGCCGGCCTATACTTTCGCGTGATGGACGCACGCTTGCGTTTGTGCGCCGTGTGAGGGACAAGGAAGCACTCGTACTCAAGTAAGTAGCGATTTACTTATGAATCATGATGCTCTTCAGGGTTTGTGTAATCGCATTCCTTGTATACATGTACTATATGTTGGTTTAACTGATATTCCTTCGACAGGGATCTTAACACAGGCACCCTGCATCATATCTGGCACGGGCTCACCTACGACCTCTCCACAATATATGCGCCGATGGGTACATATCCATCCTTTGCATTCACGCCCTCTTTGTCCTCTCCGGGCATCATCATTTGGGCTGCTGGGCAGATCTGGCATGTCCCATTGGCGCATAACACAGAGGGGGAGCTTGTCGCCGCGACCGGAGTTGCCAACAATGCAGACTTTACCCCAAAAGTTATCCCGTTTACAGCGCAAATCTCGAAGAAGCTCGCGGAAACTCGGCGTATGAAGACTGATGTACGCAAGTTTGAATCAGGCCCGCAGCGCGTGCGTGCCTTCACCCAGCTCGTACTAGATGAATCTGGCAGGCGTGCAGTATTTACAGGCGCAGGCCAGACATGGGTGCAGGTGCTTGGTGAATCCCTCATCAACCCGGCTACCTTGGACCCCGTCGATGATGCCAATTTCCTTGGGACTTCGAAGCTTGCCCAACGTATTCCGCACCTAGACCCCTCCGCAGGATACTACTCACCTTCCTTCGTTCCTGGGTCTTCCTTCATTTTGCACGCACGCTGGGATAATACTCATTTCTCGTCCCTTGAGCTGGCAGACCTGGAAAGTGGGCAAGTGTGGGAGGTCGCTGGACTCCCTAAGGGACGGTGGTTTGGTGCTGTAGTAAGTGCACCTGCGACAAACGGCGCGCGGACAGCTGTGCTGGTGAAGACGGGTGGGGATGTGTTAACTGGTGACGTGGTGGCTACTGCACAAACTGGAGTCTGGGTCGGAGAAATCACGTTTCCATCCCATTTCAGTTCTGAAGGTACTGTCGAATTGACCAACCTGCGCTACATCCAAAGTAGTGTCGATCCTTCTGATGTCGTCAAGCTGTCGTTCATGGATGGCAAGTCTAGTGAAGTCCTCGTCCAACAATCTGACAGTGTACTTCGGATCTCATTGCGCGATGGCGCTGAGGAGGTGGTTGCTCGGGGGAAGGGAACTGATGAGATCATTTTTTCACCATCTGGATCCGTGCCCTTGATGTCTTCAAGATTAGCTGGACGCAGCCAAACAGCGGGGGCTGCGGCATTTGTCAGCCTCTTTCACGTATATTATGTGCCCCCTTCCTCAGTGGACTCCAAGAAAGCCATGTGGGCCAAGCCTGGGAAGGCACCGAAAAACTTGGCGCGTCTGAGCGGAGACGGTGGGCATGATGTCGTGTTTAGTGGTGACGGAAGTGTGATTGGATGGTTCCTTGGTGCGTTCGCCTCTCCTAAATTTCTCGCATTCCACTATGACCTAACTGACCGCTACACAAATTAGGTCCATACCTTCATACTCTCCAGCTCTCCCGCCTACCTGCATGCACAGACGCAATCGAGGCTGACACATCTAACTTCGGAATTGACTGTGTCCGGGACTTGCTTCATGTCACAGCAGTGGATATTGCCTATACCCCCGATGTGCAACGGTTGTCCAGCGAGGCGCGCAAGTCAGTAGCGCATGGCCTAGATAGATCAACTATAGCCGAGAGCAACGCTGATGTGGTCATCATCCACAACGCGACTATCTTGAGTATGGAGAATGGTGTGCTCGCGCAGGATTTAAGGTCAGGTGCGAGCGTTGTGATTCGGAGTGGAGTCGTGGAAGCCGTTGGCGGCCCTTGTCTTGGTGAGGGACTATCGGGGGCATTTGAAATCAATGCTGAGGGCGGTCAGTGGTTTCATTTATGATCTATGGAAAAATGTTGATGTTGCGTGACGCGTAGGGTATGTCATCCCAGGTTTCATCGACTCACACGCACACTGGGCTGGCACAGAAGACAAGTACCCAGCAACGTCATGGGAAATGCAGGCTTTCCTGGCGTACGGCGTGACTACACTACACAAGTGCGTGATTTTCTCTCCGCATATTTATTGATCATTTTACTCCTAAACCTACAGCCCAAGTTTACATAACTCCCTCGGTTACGTCGAACGCGGACGCATCGAGTCCGGACTTATGGCTGGCCCGCGGCTCTTCCATACCGGCACGGTTATCTATGGTGCATCCGAATATAGTATCCATCAGGACATTGCAAGCATGCGTGAGGCGCGTGAAGCACTTATCAGGATCAAGGCTGAGGGCGGAGATGCGAGCTGGAGCTATAAGAACTACAATTTGCCGACGAGGGCTGCAAGACAACGGTTATTAACAGCTGCTCGTCAAGTGGGGATGCTATGTGTGCCAGAAGGTGTAAGTATAACACTGTTTCCTCGTCCATTTGAGTGGCCTGCTGATTGCGGTTGCAGGGAATGAACTATGATTGGGATTTGACGTACATTATAGATGGTAAGTGCCTGACTCTAGAGCTCTCAGTCTTGAGTGGTTATTGATTAGACTAGGGATGACGACGATCGAGCACAATATCCCTGTGTCCGTGCTGTACGATGATATCCTCACGCTCTATACGATGAGTGGGACTGGATCTACTCCAACGCATATCGTCGATTATGGAGGCATGTTCGGAGAGCAATATCTTTGGGCAACGGAGGATATTCCGAACGACCCGAAGTATGTCTCTGCTTCAGTCTTTAACTATGTGCGCTTGATAACTTGTTATCAGACTCCGCACGCACACACGGCACGACATTCTCGAAGGGATCTCAGAGAGCACGAGCCGGCCGTTCAATTGTATGCTTCACATGGATTCATGCCTAGTGACAAGTCAGTTGACTTTTTCATTCCAGCGATGGCACTGTGGAATGTTTCTGCATCCGTTGCAAATATGGTGCATAGAGGGCTGCGCGCTCATATCGGGGCGCATGGCGAGCCACCCCTTGGACTCATGTATCATCAGGAGATGTTTTACGCCAAAGCGGGCGGGCTAAGCAATTATGAGGTTCGTTTCCTCCATACCACATTTGTTTGTAGAGACTCATCTGGCTTGACCTCGTCGCAGGTGATTCGCGCAGCAACTGCTGATGCCGCAATTACTTTTGGTCTCTTTGACAGCCTCGGGTCTATCTCGAGGGGTAAACTTGCAGATCTCATCATCTTCCCGCCTGGCTTTGATCTGTTGCAGGATAATATCCGTAATACGCGGAATATTATGTATGTCATCCGTGGTGGGCGGATATGGCATGCAGAGACCATGGAAGAGGTTTGGCCCGTCAAGAGGAAGCAGGTGCTTCCACCAATCAATGCGGAGTAAGAACAGAATACAACTTTGTCGCGGAACTTGGAGATGCATAATGAGATTCACATTGATCACATTTACTGAGTCCCGGGTCAGATGAGCCATCTCTAACTCAACCTCAGCATCAACATCACAATCACCGCAAAGTTCAGTCAACCAAAGTACAGCCCTTGAAGGCCCACGGCAACACAGAGTGGGCTCATTCAGGGGCAAAGCTCTGGGAACTGCAATGCTACGGCAATAGGATTGTCTGGACCATCAGCTGAAATCCGCTTCACTGATAATCATACTCGCGCTCATTCGTTTCTGCTTCTCCTTTTTGCATGCACGTGCACTTGAACAACTTGCATTTCACGACCTTCCTTTGTGGACATGTGAGGAATACAACAAGGGTATTAGTCGGAGAAAGCACCGATGGAGTTGACGGGAAGATGGGCATAAGGTTGTCTTTAGTGGGGGCTGCTCCTTGATGCGTTCATTCTCATCGAATCCATCTCTCCCCATAGTATCTCGCCTTTACTCCTGACTTAGCTCACTGCCAGGCCCATACCTTCATACTTTCATATCTTCTCGCTCTTGATCGTCTATTAGGTCATGATCGAAGGTTCCAAGCTCCGAGGATCTACATGATGCCTGCATGAAAAGTGAGATCCACGATAATGCCGAGTGGAGCGTAGATGAATGGGAACGAGAATCCAGTATTCGTGATACACCTATATATACTACAGTCCAAGAAGTCCTAGCTAAGTCCGAGTGAACGTCAGTTTGGAAACATCCTAGTCAAAAGCAATGTCCAAGTAAGCTAACTGTTCGAGTGCGATTTCCGTCTCACGCGAGCTCCACAAAGCCGACTCTGGAGTTTCCAACATCGAAGACAGTGTACACATTTCTCATGAAGACGTCACCAAGGATCCATTGATCTGAAGATAAGTTAGCGAGGGCAGCTCTAAAAAAATCCAGAAAAACAACCTTCAACTTCATCACTGCCATGGATAGCACCAATGCAGATCGTTCCTGATGAATCAACAGGGCCATGGATTAAAGTCTCCGCAGAAAGCGGAAACGACTTCCCTCCAAGGGTGATGCTCACAGTTGGCACGGTGTCGCATGGTACTTGAAAGAAAGATGAGAAACGTGACAATGGGGCTGTCCAGCTACTTACGCGCGTATACACCCTTTTCTATTTCTGTCGCATTGACGGCCGCGTAGAGCTGACTGACGTCGGGCGAATTGCCCAAGATCAACGAGGTCCCAGAGTCGATAATGGCGGAGAATGTATTGACAATTTCTTTCCCATTGATCCCGATGGCATCACCAGTGATCTGCCAGGGCCCCTGATAAATGTGTGAGTGATGTCTAAAGTTAAGACTGGCGACTCACCTCTTTGGTTACTGGAGTATATGCGAACGAGCCTTGATATACCGAAGGGTTCACGCCACCAACGTAAAGCTCAGAACCAGAGGATGCAAGTTTGAAAGCAAACACCGGTTCTGGGACAGCTCCTTGTGAAACAAGCGTGTGGAAAACCGAGTTTGCGCCAAACCTAGAGATCGACTTGAAAGCCAATCCCATCAGCCCATCATATATTTCTGATGAAAAACCGAATTCATTTAACGCAACGCCAAAAGTTTGTGCAGTGGCCTGCGACATGATTAATGGATCCAGACAAGAGACAACAAGAAAACTGCTACGTACTTTGAAGCCAGCAAGCGAGACACTATCCGCATATAGATCACCTGTAGCCGCGGAATTATCCATGTACTCCACTGTGAACGACTTGCCAAGGAGTTGGGCAGAAGAACTGCTATCAGGATCGTACCGTTGCTGTCCGCTGCATGTGTCCCCGCAAGTTGATCCAGGTAGAAATAAGTCCGTAGAACCAGTGTCAAAGTTAACTGCGGCACTCGTTTGAGTGCATCCTAATTGGCATCGAGTAAGAAATACAAACTGGTAAATGTCTGCGGCGGAGTGCCGGCTTTGATCTCTCCAATCCAAGTTCTATTTGCGATGTCAACAAGCGGTGCCGAGCCTAACGCTGCCGCACGCTTGGTTATTGAAGGGGAGAAGAGGGCTGCACCAGTGTTTCTTTCGAACGCAGCAGCGTTCCGCTGTAACTTGCTAAATATATGATCAGCAGGAAGCGACACCGAGCAAGAGCAGCCACCTACGCTTCTGTACTAGAAATATGACTCCTGATTGAAGCCAAGTCAACGCGTCCGTCAGTGGTCCTGAGAGTTGATTTTTTCGTCAATGATATCGAAAGAGGGTGTGGTTGCGGTAAAGCGACTGTCAGCGCATGTAAAACAACGACCAAGGACAGAAATAAAGAACGCATTGCTGTGAACGAACAGGAAATTCTAGCTACTTACCTTGCCTTTTAATAGACGTTCTTATAGCGATCGATTTTACACTCTGCGATGGATTTAAAAAATGTGGTAGCTGTGCAGTGGCGGTTAATCCAACACAGCTTGAAGTCGACGTTTAAACCTTGGCTCCAACCACTTTCGATCGATCGCACAGTTCCGTCCCCCTAATTCCACACAACCCTGATTATCATCGACGGTCGGACGTGCCATATATATTATGCAGTTGCTGGAGTGGTCGTGCGCGTCAAGGCGTCGGGCAGCATTTGAACCGTGGATAAGTCCGGATGACCGAGTAGTCCAAACAGGTGGGTCCTGATGATTCATGTTGTATATAATGTAACACAGAATGTGTATAACCGACGATAGATGCAAAAATGCGACTAGTGGCCCGAGGAAAATATAAAACTAGCCATGCATCAGATACCATGTTATGCAGCTAGTTCATCGTAGTGTTGTTTAGGAGCTCAAGCGCTCATGACTTGTGTTGGGGTTGGGTAGAGAGAGGGTGCGGTTAGTTGCTGTAAGCGTGTTGGAGTTCTGCAAGGGCATGGAATAGTGAATAGACTTACAATGTGGTGTCAGTGTGACTCGTGCCCCTCTTAGAGCTAAGTAGACTAAGACTTTTTAATCTTAAGATGAGTTTGAAAAAGTAGTTTTATAGTTGAAGGATTTTCATAATTTATTGGTGACAGCGCACGTGCGCTGGGCGAAAGGTAAATTCCGGAAATAGGGTTTGACTTTACATAAGCAGTTAAACCTTATGAGTAGCACGCATAGCGGCATAATAACACAAGGATTCTGAATCATGTCAACAGGGACTGTGACCTAGTGTGATACTATGTACACAGTGCAGGAAAACAGGTAAGTTATCAAAAAAGATCAGGCCAAAACAATATCAGCAAGCCAAGTATCGCCGTACAAAACATCATTCTACGACAGTGAAAAGCTACAGCAGGGTTTCTGATATCCGGGATCACAGCACCAACTGACTCTGATTTTCAAAGTCACAATAACAGCTGCCACAAGAGGTTTGTAACAATCATTATAAGGGCACCTGGTAATGGTACAGATGCCATAGCACCGCTCGATCCTGGAGCAGGAAGGAAATGCGCGGCTGACGATTCCTGTTCTGATGAAGACTCCTGAGATATTTCGCCCATCAGCGTTATCTTAACTGAGGCAAAGGAGGCAAGAACCTTGAATACAACTAGCCCCACTATGATGCCAGCGGCAAAGAACGCAAAGGCTACGAGAAGCCAAATGACGCCCCACACTGATAAGGCATTAGCGAATGTTTACCAAAGGTAGAGGAATTTACCTTGAGATGGGAAACAGCCACAAATCCGAGCGAATGCGGATGCATCAGAGCTGTTGACTTTCCGCGAGATGGTGTCGTCTGAAGGAACTAGGCTATTAGTCTGACGGGTGCAAACCTTGAGGGTAGACCTGCCTATCACGTCCCATAGCACATACAAATCTGACATCACGCCAACAAACAAAATCTTATTAAGAGCTTTAGCCTGGAACACGAGACACGTCCGGAACAACTCACGAAGTAACGCAACGCCACACTGTCTGCCACTAGCCAGAATAACACGATCAAGCCAGACATTCCAAGAATGAGTATCCATGTCCTACGTCATCCACTCAGCTCAGTCCTGTCCTTCCGCAGCTCAGGCGGCAGTGCAAGAACGATACTCACAGCCAATTCCTGCGTGCCCACCATAACGTGAAGAGAAAAAATACACCAAGAACAAGACAAGCTATTTTGCTCGCATTGGTATCAAATCCACATGCAATAAGACAAGCGCCGATGAATGAGGACCCGAGGTATCCGGCAGGAAGGGTGATCCATGGTATACCGCCCGACATGCGGGTCTCGCCGCCTTCATCAGCTGTCCGAATGGTGACGGTGTAAGCAGAGATTCGATGGCGAGATAAAAGACATTGGACTAACGATCAAGCTCGACAGAATGGATAGTAGCACAAGTCAAGATACCAGTAATGGCATGGCTCATCTACAAAATAACTTGACATAAAGGCCTCATGCATTGAGCAGCGGTGAGGTGAGCTTACCTCATGGAAGCCCACGGTAAGCAGTCTGCAATGATATCAACGTATTGGCAACCTTTCGGATCTCTAGGAGGAACGTACTTGAAAGGGTATACTGCGTAGTAGATCCAGAACACATCAGGGCGCCGCAGGAGGGTATGACATGACGAATTACGCACTGATCCAACTCAATACTGGGACATGCCTGCGAATGAAAGGTTCAACCGTTGCGGCCAGAGGGCATTGCAGGGGGGTTGGTTGACGCTCACCACAGAATAGCGATAATTATTACATAGCAGCCAGCGACGATTAGAGTTGTCTTCTGAGTAGCATTCGGAGTGAGTTGTGCGCCGACGTCTCTAGTGTAAAAACTGAAGGTTTGGTCTTCAAGGTAGGGCATTTCTTGAATCGTAGAGAGAACGGAGCAGCACAAAGTCAACGTTCAAGCTGTGCAGTGTGCACACTGCTCTCGTACTAGTAGCAATCAACATGACAGGAGCACGTGCACGCGCTAAGACATAATATAAAAATGCATGAATCCATTATATGAAAATAGTGAACAGGGTACATAAACAACAGCCCGAGGGTAACGACATAACAGATGACATGAATGCGAATACATGACGAGGAGTATACAAGAACATATCAACAATACCATGACCAGCAGGCAACTTAAAGCTCATCGTCGGTGACTTCTTCACCACGTTTTTTACGAGCCATGCGCTCCTTCTTGAGCTGCGGAAAAAATTATTGTGAGCGCGATTCAAAGAAGTAAAGTAAGTGAACTGACCTTGCGCTGTTCAGCTGACGTCAGCTTCTTTGCTTTTTTGTTGTCGATCTTGTTGCCCATGGCATCATATTGAACCTCCTCCTCGCCATCCTTCTTGTCAATGCGGGGACCTGAACCCTGACCCTCGACCCAGTTGTGGCCAGAAGCCTCGAGGTGGCCATCGCGCATGGCCCACACCTCGTGGCAGAGGGACTCGGAGAAGTCCCTGTTGTGGGTGATAACGAGTACACCACCCTCGAAGACCTTCAAGGCCTCGATGAGCGCAGCAAGCGATTCACGATCAAGGTAGTCTATATAGGACATAAGTAAAACACAAAGGGAAAAAGTAAGCGAACATACTAGTCGGCTCGTCCAAGCAGATAACATGAGGCCGGCGCCATGTAGCAGCACCGAGAACGATTTTCACTTTCTGGCCGCCAGACAGACCCCTCATAGTGTTATGCGATACAAACTCGGGCTCGAGACCGAAGTCAGCAAAGTGCTTCTCAATCTCCCGACGGACTAGAGGGCGCAATAGACCGAGACGCTGGGCTTCGCGAGTATCCACCTCGAGAACTTTCTGCAATGGGAGAGTCGTTAGCATTAAGCATTTGCTAGAATCGAACAATACGAACCTTTTCGAAACCACGCTTGATGAGTTCATCACGAGGCATCCACACGTTCTCCGAGGAGCTCATGTTCTTGAAAGAAACTTCATACTCGTAGGACTGCTTCAATTTCTTGCGCGCGACAATCTCTTCAATAAACCTCTTCGAACCGTCCTCGTGAACATAGAGGGAGCCGTCCTTCATCTTCTGTGCTTCAGCATCGGTAATTTGACGACTGGCCTTCTGCATCTCTTCCAAATCCTCACCAGTCTGGTAACGCCAGAGCATGTATTCAAGAGGAGTCTTGTCAAGGTGGTGGTCAATATGGTGGAAGGCGTGCTGAGCAACGTAACCGATGACCAAGTTAGGGTGCTTCCAGATCTCACCACCCTTGTTGGGCTCCATGTCGCCAATGAGGAGCTTAACTAGTGTCGACTTGCCCGAACCGTTGGGACCAAGAACAGCAACACGAGACGAAAGAGAGACTTGGAGATTGATGTCGTAAAGTTGCTGGACAGGTTGCGTGGGGTACTGGAAGCCAACCTTGCGCATCTTGAGCAAACTCTTCTCCTTAGTCTTAACACCCTCGAGCAAAGGTGGGTCTGGGAGCTTGAACTTGTAGTCCTCAGCAGCCTCAAGGGTGTAGTAAGACTTCGCCTCAGGGACGGCCTTGACAAAGGCTTCAAGGTTACCGCGGTATCTCTTGACCTTGAAGCGGTTAAGGTGGAGGACGTCGGTGATCGTGTTGTTGAGGAAGCTAGAGTCGTGTGAGACGATGATGGAGGTACAGGTCTTCAGGCTGACGAGATAGTTCTCGAGCCAAGCAACGTTGACAACATCCAAGTGGTTGGTCGGCTCATCAAGGAGGAGGATGTCAGCCTTGAAAAGCATAGCCCTGGCGAGAGCGAGCTTCATCTTCCATCCACCGGACAAACTGCCGATGGCGTGTTTCTGACGCTCATCGCTGAAGCCAACGGAAGCAAGGGTCTCGATAACTTCAGTCTCGCCAGCAAGAATGCGTGAATCAGAAAGGATGAACTGAAGGACCGAGGTGTCGGCCTCACTGCCATCGATGTCGTGCTCGACATAGAAGGTGCGAACCTCATCAGGAGAGGGGAAACCCTCAACCTGTCCGTTGGTGATAGCACGCATGAGGGTTGACTTCCCTGTACCGTTCTTACCACAGAGACCATAACGGTGGCCACGCTTGAGGCGGAGGGTAGCGGTGTTCAAGAGAATCTTTGCACCGTAGGCAAGGGAGAACTGGCAGTTGCACAGATCTTCACCCTCCTCCTCATCGTCAGGGACTGTATCATCCTCAACATCCTCACTGGCAGAGCGTACAACCCAATCCCTTGCAATGGAAACAGGGTCGGGAGTGGGGGAAAGGAATGCGAGGTAAGAAGCGAGCGTGTCCCACTCAGGAACTTCGAAGTTCTTGGCATTAACAAGGTTGGCAGCAAGGCGCGAGACGTAGACGGCAGAAGCGTCAGTGGTAGAGAGAGTGGCAGCACCTGCTTTCTTGTAGATAGCAGCGAGGGATGAGGCAAGCTGTGGTGCCTCGGCAACTTTCAGTGCAGGGAGGTCGGTACCATCGCTTTCAGCGGGAACTTCGCCGACTTGGCGGAGAGTGGCAATGGCTTTGCCAACCACACCGCGAGCCTCAGGGTCGCCAATGGTAGTCTCTACCTTGATCAAGCCAGGAAGAAGCTTGGGCAAGAATGGACGAACGGTGACAGGAGAGTCCACGAGCTTGGCCATGTTGTCGACAATACTAAATACGAAATGAGATCCTAAGTCCGGGAAACGAAGAAGTCAATGCTTACACTGCAACCTTACGCTTCGTAGCGGTAAGCTTCTCCAGGAGACCACGAGACAAAAGGGGAACCATGAGGGAAAGAGTAGCAGAGTCTACTTCGGAAACGAATGTGGTAGCCGAGAGGAGCTGAACGGTATTTGGCACCTCTTCGACAGGGTTTATGAGAGCCTTGATAAGAGCTGGAATAAAGCGTTCAATGTCCTTGTTCGAAACCAACGCAGTGGCCTTTGTAAGAGAATCGCGTGCAGCCTTCTTCACATCTGCCTTGGTATCCCAGATAGCCTCGGCAAGAATAGGGACGATGTCGGGCATCAGGCGAGCGGTTTGAAGGGGCGCAGACACAACGAGCTGGTTCAGGACAATGAGTGAGCCAGTCTTCACTTGCCATTTTCCTGCAGTTTTAATTTCGTGAAGAAGTGCGGGAAGAAGAAGACCGGTAGCCCATGGGTTCATGGAGGCTACAAACTCCCGAACTGCCTCAACGGCTGCATTACGAGGGGCAGGCATCTTGTCGGCGAAACCCTCAATGAGAGCTGCATAGAGACCGGAATCGACGAAAGTGGGTTCAAGGGCCTTGGTGGCGCCCGCCTTGGCAAGGGCGACTACAGCATCAGCTGCACCCTCACGGGCAGCAGCGGATTTTTTGTCGGCAAGAGCCTTTACTGCGGCTTCAACGAAACCAACAGCGGTAATGGCAGCAGGGCCATCGTTTTGCACGGCTGAAGCCAGAACCTTTGCGGCTGCATCGCGGGTAGCTTTGTCAGCGACAAAAAGGGCGGCCACGTCGACTTGACTGTCAACAGGGCCCTTGAGAGAAGCGGGAGAAGGAATAGCAGGAGCGGTAGCGGTAGCAGCAGGCATTTCTAGTATCTGAAGTGACTATTAGCAACAGAAGACGAGGGCGCAAGAGCAAAAGCATACCTTTAGTAGAGACGTTGAAAGTAAGTTTTCTTCTATGATGATGAAGTCGAGATTAGGCAAACAAAAGCTACAAAAGCGTGCTCTATGTCTACTGAGCGGCTAAATGCCTGAAAACGGGTCAGTCACCGAGGATCTAGAGAGGAAGAGACGAACCTCTATTGAGATATGAAGAAGAGCAAGAAAAAGAAGTGAGAGACAAGTGAAGAAAATCGACAAGGAACGCTCCCTGCGATATAAGGCTACAAGCTCCTGCGGAGTTGGAAAAATCGAGATAATCTAAATTATCTCATCTTGCGCCGGCCGACAAAAGCGGTTCACCGGCAAGATCGCTGATCTTACATCACTGCCACCGAGCTGTGCAAGGGTGGGGCACCCGATCACCTAGCGACCAGACCAATGCTAACCGGAACTCTCAAGACGTTCACTCATTGAAAGGGCAAAGAGCATATAATAAAAATCAAGGGCGTGCACGTGGGAACATCGTACGGTGTACTGCCTTACCCCGCATCTTATCTCTACAGGATGAATACGGGGTCACTGCTCATCTAGCTTAGCAAAGCTCAACGGCGTGAACAACTGATTCAGAAAAATGCATCAGCACGCGCACTACACGCACATTGAAAAAGAATTGCCACGTACATATCCACCTCCTTGGTAATGTTTACTGTTCGCTTCCACCCAGTGCAGACGAAGCGCATGCAAAAATGCCGAGAGACCCTGTTTTGGATGGGAAGATGTCACGAAGCATCAGTATTTCTGATCCACGCCTGATGGGCACGTTTATAACACGCACCTCCATGATGCACAGAATGAACACCGTTGCTCCAAACCAGCCAACAACAACTATTGCGAGAGCGATCGTCCCGAAGATGCCAGACGGCCCCAAAAATTTCTCGATTGTCATTGACCACAGGACCTCGGATAGCTGAGCGTGTGCCAACGACAGGGCCCATAACCGAAGGTAAGATGCGGTATGTGAGATACAGCCAAGACAGAATTCGATGGTGTGAATTATCTGATGGATTACCACCTCACTGAAGTCGTGTTGTTCCTGTAGATAACGATCAGTACGAAAGCACCCCTATCAGCTAGTTAATAATAACGTACATGCTCCTCCTCCATCTCCTCCACAATGATACGACCATTACCCTCTTCCTCAGATTCTAGAACTTCATCTGTACTCTCACGAGGCCCACCATTACGGTGACCAATTCCAACATACCCTTGACCCTGGATAACTTGCATCTCTTTCCACTGGAAGTACGGTTTCATGCACAACATCCAGGGCACGCAGACCGCCGCGAGTAGAAGAAGCACGACTTGAATGAAACCTTGTCCGCTATATAGCTGTACAGTCGCATCTACCTTCCCCGGAGACAGGATCATCGAAATT